CTGTGCTGGGAGCTGGCTTCGGTGAAGGGGTGTGGCTGTGGGCGTCTGGTGGGGGTTGAGGAGGGCTGTGTCTGTCGGAGTGTTGATGGCTCGTGATACTGTGAGGGAGGGCTGTGACTTGTATCTGTGTTGTGGGTAAGGGGTTACCTGGCTCCGCGTTCCGTGGGATTTGCAGGTTTAACTGGCAGTGTCTGGTGGTGGGGAGTGTGACTAAGCGACTGTGTCTTGGGGTGTCCCAGGGTGTGGGTGTGTATGTCTTAGGGTGGTGGTGTTTCTGGGGCAAGGAGGGGTGCCTGGCTAGGTCCAGGGGTGTTCAGAGATGTCAGGGTATGTCTTGGCATGTTGCTGTTTCTTGGGTGGGGCTGCTGGCTAGGTCTAGAGGTGTCTAGGGGTGCAGGTGTGTGTGTGTCTCAGGGCATTGCTGTTTCTGGTGAGAGTGGGGGTGGCCAGCTAGGTCTCTTGGTGTCCGGGGGGTGGGGGATGCCACTTCTTGTGCCTTGAGTGTGTGTATGGAGTGTGCCAGTGGGGCCTATCTGGGATTGTTGTGGGGTCATTACAAGTCATATGGAGTGTGACCAGGGGTCAGTTTTGGCAATGCGCGCGCGCGCGCGCGTTTGTGTGTGTGTGTGTGTGTGTGTGTGTGTGGGCTGAGGTGCCCAGTGAGAGTATTTCCCAGCACTAAGGAGGGTGCTGCGGGTGGTCATTTTGGGGGGCTGCATTTTGGGGTGTGGAGGGAAGGGGCTGATTGAGGCAGTAACTCTGGGTGCGTCCCGGTGCTGGGGACCCTGGATTGAGGGATGTGATGGCAGTACCCTGGCTGTGCTGAGCTGGAACAGGATGAAACTGAGTGGTAAGTGATGGGACTGTAAGTCTTAAGAGTGTGAGGCTGTGGGAGTGTCCGTCAGGTGTGACCCTACTTCTCAGGGCAGGAGGTGAGTTTTTGTGGCTTAAGGTGTGTGTCCCAGGTGTCACTCAGCCCATCTTAAAGCAGGAGCCAGATGCTGGGGAGAGTCCCCGGGGCCCCAGGCCTCCTGGTTCCCCTGCCCCCTTTCAGCCTCCTCCCCTTGCCTTCCAGGATATGACTTGCTGTGGCCCTGGCCTGGGCTTAAGCCCCTGTATAAATAGTAAGCGGATCCCCTGGTGGGCACTGCCCATCACCACCCACCCCAACATCCATGAAGGGGCTCTGGCAGGGCAAGAGCCTTGCTGCCCCACAGAATTTGGATTAGCCCCACCTAACCCCAAAGCCCCAGGGAGGGGCAGTGGCACCCCCTGCAGCCGCCCCAGCCCGCCCCAGGCGACGCTCACATTTTCCAGTGTTTAGATTTTATCCGCTTTATTAATAAGGCAAGAGGCCAGAGTCTGGGGGAAGGGGGCTGCTCTCACCCCGATGGAAGGAGGGGGTCACAGGGAGCCAGACTGACTCCAGGGAGCCTCGCTCCTCATGGAGGGAGCCAGGGCCCCGAGTGGCCCCCGCCCACTGCCAGGAGCAGAGCAGGGGAGGGTCTCTGCCACTCCAGGCCCCCAGCGGGCGTGCGCGGGGTGGAGCGGCCCCTGGAGGCCAGCAAGGGCGGCGGGAGGAGCCAAGGAGCCGCCCCAGGAAGAGGGAGGGAGGAAGCGGCCTGCCGAAGAGCCAGGGCGCAGTGGGGAGCAGGGCTGAGCGGCGGGCAATGGGGACCCCACATGCCAGGCAACGCCGGGTAAGCAGGTTGGGGCACATGAGGGTCCCTGGTTGGGGAGGAGGAGGGCAGGGAGGGATGGGGCCATGGCCACCTGTCTGTCCATCCTGTGCCCCTGTGCTCTCCCCCATCTGTGCATCCCTATCTCACCGTCTGGCCATCCTCCCTTCTCATCTGGCCTGGTGGGCACTTCCACCCTTTCAGCCCTTACCACCAGGATATCAAAGAGTGGATGGTCCTGGGGCCCCCCTTGAGGCCTCTGGGGCAGGGACATGGAGTGGAACCGTGGGCATCCAGGGTGAGGCAGAGGTGATAGGGGTAGGGCCTGAAGAGAGACTGCAGTGGAGCAGAGACCAGTCCATGGGGTGGGGGCAGAGATGGGTCCATGGCACAGATGTGGCTGTGCCATGTGGGGTCAGAGATGGGTCCATGGGGGATAGGGACATGGCCGTGGGGACAGAGATGGGGCCGTGGGGAGAGATGTGCCCATGATGGTAGAGATGGGGCTGGGTCATCAAGGAAGGGACTGGAGTAAAGCTGACAGAGGGAAAGTCAGGTAGGGCCCCAGGGGCAGAAATGGGTGAGAGCTATCACATGGAGCCACAGGCCAGGAATTTGATGTGGTGGTGGTCAGAGGGGGATCTGTGAGGCCCAGAGGCGCTGGCAGAGACGACTCTCAGGCCAGGCTGGGGGGAATCTTGCAGGGAACCATGAAAGACAGAGAAGGGGCCAGTAGGGACAGAGGGAGGCCGTGGAGCAGGAGATCGGGTCAGGTGAGAGGCAGAGGAGAGGGAGGAGGGTTTCAAAATGGAGTGGCCAGGGTCATCTGGAGTTGCCATGGGCAGAGAGGCTGCAAGAGAACAACACCATGGAGTCAAACGGGCCCTGATGTTCAGAGATGCCATTGTGGGGTGGTCCCTGTCCGGGCCCAGCCAGCCTCACTCTGCCCTCCTCTCCTCTACCTAGAACTCCCGGCGCCTGACATGAGCCCTTGCGGGCCCCTCAACCTGAGCCTGGCCGGTGAGGCGGCCACGTGCACGGCGCCCTGGGTCCCCAACGCATCGGCTGTGCCGCCTTCGGGCGCTTCGGGCACTTCGCCCGCGCTGCCCATCTTCTCCATGACGCTGGGCGCCGTGTCCAACTTGCTGGCGCTGGCGCTGCTGGCGCAGGCTGCGGGCCGTCTGCGACGCCGCCGCTCGGCCGCCACCTTCCTGCTGTTCGTGGCCAGCCTGCTGGCCACCGACCTGGCGGGCCACGTGATCCCGGGCGCGTTGGTGCTGCGCCTGTACGCCGCGGGGCGCGCGCCGGCCGGCGGGGCCTGCCACTTCCTGGGCGGCTGTATGGTCTTCTTCGGCCTGTGCCCGCTGCTGCTGGGCTGCGGTATGGCCGTGGAGCGCTGCGTGGGCGTCACGCGGCCACTGCTCCACGCCGCGCGGGTCTCGGTCGCCCGCGCGCGCCTGGCGCTGGGCGCGCTGGCCACGGTGGCCTTGGCCGTGGCGCTGCTGCCACTGGCGCGCGTGGGCCGCTACGAGCTGCAGTATCCCGGCACGTGGTGCTTCATCGGCCTGGGTCCCCCGGGCGGCTGGCGCCAGGCGCTGCTCGCCGGCCTCTTCGCCGGCCTCGGCCTGGCCGCGCTCCTCGCCGCGCTGGTGTGCAACACGCTTAGCGGCCTGGTCCTCTTGCGAGCCCGCTGGAGACGCCGCTCCCGACGGCCTCCCCAGGCCTCGGGCCCAGACAGCCGGCGTCGCTGGGGGGCGCGCGGACCCCGCTCGGCCTCCGCCTCGTCCGCCTCGTCCATCGCTTCGGCCTCCACCGCCTTTGGCAGCTCCGGTAGCCGCGGCTCGGCACGCAGAGCTCGCGCCCACGACGTGGAGATGGTGGGCCAGCTTGTCGGTATCATGGTGGTGTCGTGCATCTGCTGGAGCCCGTTGCTGGTGAGGGGCGCACTGGCCCCTCGAGCCAGCTCCTTCCAGCTCCCTCCCGGGCCCTTCCTGGTCCCAGGACACTTGGGGCCTCCTTCCTGGACCCAACCAAGGCCCTGACCCCTGGAGGCCCCACCTGCCCGAAAAGCCAGCATCGCCTTCTCCAGCTGACCTCCCTCCCATCCTTCCTCCTCGACCCCATTTCTTCTTCCTTTCTGGGGTCTTTGTAGTGCACCCCCACCCACACAAGCCTCCTCTTCATTCCCTAGTCCTTTCACCCAATCCCCTCGTTTGTCCTCCTTCCGGGATACCTGAGACTCCTCTGACCACTGAAGGTGTTTATTTGCCCCCTTTCCCCCCATCCCCTTCCCACCTGGATCCCCATTTACCCTCCCCGCGAAGGGTCGCCCCTCCTCCCAAGCTTTTAGCTTCCAGCCACGCCCCCATCATCCCTGCGCCGCCCTGCGCCCGCCCGGCGGCTCACACCGGCTTTCCCCGCAGGTGTTGGTGGCGCTGGCCGTCGGGGGCTGGAGCTCTACCTCCCTGCAGCGGCCACTGTTCCTGGCCGTGCGCCTTGCCACCTGGAACCAGATCCTGGATCCTTGGGTGTACATCCTGCTGCGCCAGGCCGTGCTGCGCCAACTGCTTCGCCTCCTGCCCTCGAGGGCCGGGGCCAAGGGCGGCCCCGCAGGGCTGGGCCTGACCCGGAGCGCCTGGGAGGCCAGCTCGCTGCGCAGCTCTCGGCACAGCGGCCTCAGCCACTTCTAAGCACAACCGGAGGTCCAACGACTAAGCCAGCCCACCCTGGGCCGGGCCCAGGTGCCTTTGAGGAATAAAAAGCCATTCTGCGCGCCCAGGCGGGGTGGGTGGTGTGTCCCGTCCGGGCTTCCGCAGCCACTGCGGCCTCGCGGGCGCCTCCGGGACGGGTGCCGTTCCGGGGCCTGCCAGAAGAGGGCGCGGAGACACCGGGCGCGCGCGGGTGCCGGGCCGTGGGTGCCGCAGGGGCAAGCGCACCGTGCGGGCGGCGGGGACTGGGGCTCCCCTGGGAGCTGAGCGAGAGGGTGTGGGGGGCGCTTCCTGCCCTTGCCGCCGCCCTAACCGACTTCCGCAACCATTCTGCTCACTGTGGCTTTGAGCTCTTCCCATACAGCCCCAAAACCCTATCCCAAACCATGTTACCCCCTGCTCCTGGGTGCCCCCCACCACCATCCCGACCTCTCTCCCATCTCGGCTTATCCACGCTGTCCATCGTACGAACAGCCCCGAGTCCACACCGTCCCTGATCCTCTTCAAATGACACCCCCATCACTCGAGACTCTCACGACCACCTGCCTCCCAAACGTCCCCACCTCCAAGCACGGCCCCGCCCCCAATGACGGCACACAGGAAGACACGGAGGTTGCATGGATCGGGCAAATCCCAAAGGCCTTTTTAAAAACTAGGAGCTCTCGGACAGGGGCAGAGGCAGAGGAAGGGGCTAGCAGCCCCCGGCCACGAAGTCGAAGTCCAGGAAGGCCGCCTGCTCCGCGGCTGTGAGGGGCCTCGCGTCGCGGGGCGGGCTCAGTGTGGGGGCCTCCCCAGTGAACTCCTCATCGAAGTTGCTGACGTCGGTGCGGCCGGACAGCGTGGGCACAAAGGGCGGCGGCAGGCGCCGTGCCAACAGGGCTTCCCAGCCCAGAGCCTGCAGGGGAGGGCAGCAGAGGGGAGGGTCACCCTGGGAGGCTGAGGAGGGGGCGTGCTGCAGTGGGGACCAGTCCTGAGGCTGGAGGACCATGGAGAGGAGTCAGCATATAAAGGAAAAGTGGGTTGGGGAGACGGGCTCAAGACGGATCACCTGCCAGAGCCTGGTGGAGAAGCCAGATTAGGAAAAGTGAAGACTGGACATGGTGGCTCACGCCTGTAATCCCAGCACACTGGGAGGCCGAGGTGGAAGGATCACTTGAGGCCAAGAGTTCAAAACTAGCCTGGCCAACATGGTGAAACCCCATCTCTACTAAAAATACAAAAATTAGCCAGGCGTGGTGGTGGGCGCCTGTAGTCCCAGCTACTCAGGAGGCTGAGGCAGGAGAACCACATGAACCTGGGAGGCAGAGGTTGCAGTGGGCTGAGATTGCACCATTGCATTCCAGCCTGGGAGACAGAGCGAGACCCTGGCTCAAAAAAAAAAAAAAGAGAAAAAAGTGGAGACACGGGATTAGGAGGGTCCCTGAGGGGAACAAAAGTAGGGGAGGGAATCAGAGGGTCAAGGGAGGGGCTGATGTTGCCCTGGAGGTGCAAGAGGCCCTTGAGGTGAAGCAACTAGTCTGGGGGGGGGCATCGGGCATGGGAGGATGAACTGGCCCTAGGAGGGGCTGGGTGGTCGGGGTCCCTGGGGAACCTCACCCTGAAGAAGGGCTGTTTCTTCACATCCTCCGCGTCTCTCTCGCTGGATCCCAGCCTCCGCTCTGGGTTCCTCCGAAGCAGCTGGGAGGAAGGAGCACTGTGTCAGGATCTGTCCCCCTCCAGGCCCTCCCCTGGCCCACCCCACAGCGGGGATCCTCACCCTTCTCATGATGCCGATGGCTTCGGCAGACAGGAAGCGTGGGTAGCGAACCTCGTCATTGACGATGCTGTCAAAGACCTCCTCCTCATCATCCCCTGGGAATGGGGACTGGGGAGAGGGAGGCCCGGGGTGAACGAGGGCCCTCCTCTGGCTGCTCCAGACCCAGGCCGGCCTGAGCCCTCGGCTCTGCTGCGGCTCTTGGGTGCTGGTTTACTCGGGCAGGGAAATATCCCATTTTATAGATGTGGAAACAGGCCAGAGAGGCAGAGGCAGCAGCCCTCAATCACACAGCATGCGGTGGAGGCAGACTTGGATCGCACCCCCCCAGCACACGCAGGTTCCAGTGGCATCTGAGGCACACAGGGGCGGGGCCTCACCTCACCAACCAGCATCTCGTAGAGCAGCACGCCCAGCCCCCACCAGTCCACGGCCCGCGTGTACGACGTGTCCGTCAGCACCTCAGGGGCCAGGAACTCGGGTGTCCCACAGAATGTGCTGGTCCGGTCCCCATAGCCCATCCCTGGGGACAGCAAGGCCATGTGAGGTTATGGGGGCCGGAGGAGTCACTCAGCCTAATGTAGGGTCGTCCACACAGCCCGCGCTGTCCCAGGGTCAGGGTGGGGGTACCCCGAGTAGCATTAGGGACCCCATTCCATCCACCATCCTGTGTCTAATCCCTAGGCCAGCCCTCACCCTCCTTGCAGAGACCAAAGTCTGCGATCTTGACATAGCCCTCAGTGTCCAGGAGCAAATTGTCCAACTTCAGGTCCCTGTGGGGGTGGAAGGAGGGATGAGCGGGGGTCTGCGGCCTGTCCCCACAGCGGGCAGTGTGCACATGCACACACACACGCACACACCTGTAGACGATCTTGTGTTCATGAAGAAACTGTAGGCCCAGCACCACGCAGGCAGAATAAAAGCTGCAGAGAGACAGAGGCTGCTGAGCAGGGCGGGGCCCCCCTGCCAGCAGGGAGGGTTACATAAGCCTGGCTCCCACATCCTCAAAAGCCCCCCAGTCTCCCCGAAGCTCCAGGAGGCTGGGGGAGGCAAGGCCTGAGGGTGGAGGGGCGAGAGGCAGGCTGCCAGCCTCTTGGGGGAACTGAGGTGTCAGATGCTGGGGTGGGAGGCAGGGCCCGGGCTGGGGGACCCAGCTCACGCGGCACGGGGCTCGGAGAACACGTCACTGTGGATGTGCAGCATCAGGTCCCCGCCGGCCGAGTACTCCATCACGAAGCACACGTGCTCCGGTGTCTGGAAACAGCCGAAGAGGTTCACCAGAAAGGGGTGTCCCGCGCTGGTCACTGCTGCCAAGATCCGCTTCTCACACATCAGGCTGGGGAGGGGCGGAAGGCAGAGGTCAGAGAATATGGCCACCCCTTACCTCAGACTCCCGGACAGCAAGCAAAGCCCACATAGAGGAAAGCAGAACTGAGAAACGTCATCTCAGCACCTGGATACAGCCGTGCCTGAAGGCAGCAGCCTCCTGAACTTTTCTGATCCAGACCAATAAATTTCTTTACTTGTTTCAGTCTTTCTGAGTTGGGCTCCTGATTATCAAAAGGATGCTGGGAAGACCAAGGACAGTCTCGGTGCCTGTACCAAATGTTTAGAGGGTTAGGCACTCTGTAGAGAGCACCTGACAACTGTGTGTGGAAGGCCGAGTCAGGCTGGAGTGCACTGGCGTGATCTCAGCTCACTGCAACCTCCACCTCCTGGGATCAAGCAATTCTCCTGCCTCAGCCTCCCAAGTAGCTGGGATTACAGGCGCCTGCCACTGCGCCTGGCTAATTTTTGTATTTTTAGTAGACACAGGGTTTCACCATCTGAAACCTGTTGGCCAGGCTGGTCTTGATCTCCTGACCTCGTGATCCACCCCCCTCAGCTTCCCAAAGTGCTGGGAATACAGGCGTGAGCCCCCGCACCCGGCCTAGGCTGGTAGGTATTAATGACTTTCTTTTTTTTTTGTCTTTTTGTCTTTTTGGTTTTTTTTTTTCCTTTTTGTGGAGAATGGGGTCTCGCTATATTGCCCAGGCAGGTCTCGAACTCCTGGGCTCAAGCTATCCTCCCGCCTCTGCCGCCCTAAGAGCTGGGATTACAGGTGTGAGCCACAGTGCCCGGCGATGACTTTCTTTTGAGACAGGGCCTCACTCTGTTGCCAAGCCTGGAGTGTAGTGGTGCAACCGCAGCTCCCTGCAACCTTCACCTCCTGGGCTGAGGCCATCCTCCTATCTCAGCCTCATGAGTAGCTAGAACTCCAAGCATGTGCCACCACACCCACCTAATTATTCTGTTTTTGTAGAGATGGAGGTGTCACGACATTGCCCAGCCTGGTTTTGAAATTCTGAGCCCAAGTGATCTGCCTGCCTTGGCCTCCCAGAGTGCTGGGATTACAGGCGAGAGCCACCGTGCCTGGCGTTAATAACAACTATGAGTCACTCTCCCTACGGCCACAGGGAGAGAACTGCTTTGTCTCTCATTTCTCAAAAGAGGAAACAAGGTCCCCAGAGGACCAGAGCAGGTCCCCACCTCTCCACCTCGTCTCGGGCCACAATGTCCCCTTTCTTCAAAGCCTTGATGGCGAACAGCTCCCCGCTGGACCGGAATTCGGAGAGCAGCACCTGGAACCAGAGTGGGAGGGGGTGGTTTTAGCGGCCAGCCAGGGGCCTGGGGGTCTGGACTCTCGGCCCTCTAGTTCCCTGCCCTCCACCTCACCTTCCCAAAGTGACCCCGGCCCAGCACCGCCAGGAACTTGAAATCCTCGAGGGTCAGCGGTGACTTCCTCAGAGGGCTGTGGAGAGAGGCCACTGATAGGAACAGGAAACCAGGCAAGCAGGGGTGGTGGGCAGAGGGCCGGGGAGGGGTGTCACCTGCACAGGGCGGGGCCTGGGGTCTCCTGGGTCTCCGAAGGCAGCTCGGGAGTGGTGGAAGATTCCTGGATTGGGGAGCTCTGTGACGGAGAGAGGAGGCCAGAGTAAGGGGAGTCAGAGGCCCTCGTAACCACAGCCGCCTCCAAGGCCCAGCAATATCTGGCCCCCCGACCCCCTCCTCATGTCTCCTCCCACCCAACCCTCACTTGCTCTCCTCCGGCCACACTCCACCCCACCCTGCACCCTGAACAAACCGGGCACGATTCTGCCCCAGGATCTCTTCCTCCACTTTCCTTACACCTGCGTGGCTCCTCGCTGATCTCCTCCACGCCTTTACTCAAACGTCAGCTCTACTGACCACCGCCTTCAAGAACAGAACCCCTCACACGCCCTGTGCCCCTTCTCAGCTTGCTTTCTTTCCCCAGCACGTTTTACATTCCAAATATATTTTATCAGCCGGGCACGGTGGCTCACGCCTAAAATCCCAGCACTTTGGGAGGCCGAGGTGGGCTGATCACCTGAGGTCAGGACTTTGAGATCAGCCTGGCCAGCATGGTGAAACCCGTCTCTACTAAAAATATTTTAAAATTAGCTGGGTGTGGTGGTGGGCACCTGGTCTCCCAGCTATTCGAGAGATAGAGGCAGGAGAATTGCTCAAGGCACCATGCCTGGCTAATTGTTTGTTTATGTGGTAGAGTTGGGATCTCACTATTACCCAGGCTGGTATCAAACATGTGACCTCAGCCTCCCAAAGTTCTGGGATTACAGGTATAAGTTTTAAAACAAAAGTACTTTATAATTACTTTATAACTACTACTACTTTCTAAAAAAATAGAGACATGTATATACAGTGTGCCAGGTGCAGTGGTACACACCTGTAGTCCCAGCTACTTGGGAGGCTGAAGTGGGAGAATAAACTGAGCTCAGGAGTTTGAGGCTGCCGTGAGCCATGATCGCACCACTGCACTCCAGCCTGGGTGACAGAGCAAGACCCCGTCTCAAAAAAAAGATAAAATGCATTCAGGCTGGGCGCAGTGGCTCACGCCAGTAATCCCCACACTTTGAGAGGCTGAGATGGGCAGATTACTTAAAAGTCAGGAGTTCCAGACCAGCCTGGCCAACATGGTGAAATCTCATCTCTACTGAAAATATAAAAATTAGCTAGGCATGGTGGTGTGTGCCTGTAGTCCCAGCTACTCAGAAGGCTGAGGTGGGAAAATTGCTTGAACCCAGGAGGCGGAGGTTGCAGTGAGCCAAGATCACGCCACTGCACTCCAGCCTCAGTGACAGAGTGAGACTCCATTTCTAAATAAATAAATAAAATACATTCAGTGAGGTGGGCAAGAGGAACAGGTTACATATGTGTGCACCCTGCAAACCATCATCACCCAGCCGAGCAGTTGGCAAATGCCGGTTGGTGGCCCATTCTGCATTCTGCTTTTATGAAGTTTGTAAGAGTTAAGAATGGCTTTCACATTTTTTTTTTTTTTTTTTTTTTTTGAGACAGAGTCTCACTCTGTTGGTCAGGCTAGAGTGCCGTGGCACCTTCTCGGCTCACTGCAAGCTCCACCTCCCAGGTTCAAGTAATTCTCCTGCCTCAGCCTCCCGAGTAGCTGGGATTACAGGCACCTACCACCACGCCCGGCTTTTTTTTTTTTTTTTTTGTATTATTAGTAGAGATGGGATTTCACCATGTTGGCCAGGCTGGTCTCGAACTCCTGACCCCATGATCCGCCCTCCTCGGCCTCCCAAAGCACTGGGATTACAGGCATGAGTCACTGCACCCAGTGTTTTGGAGTTTGGCCATGTTGTTCAGACTGGACTCCAACACCTGAGCTCAAGTCATCCTCCTGCCTCAGCCTCCCGAGTAGCTGGGACCACAGGTGAACTGATTTTTACACATAAAATCAGTTTAAAACAACTGATTGGGGGAAAATAACAAAAAGTCGTTGGGGGAAAAAAAAAGAAAAGAGATGTAATATTTCATCGCCCATGAAAGTTCTACGATGTCCGCACTTCAGTGTGTACTACCAGTAAGGTTTTACTGGAAGACAGACACTCTTAACGGTGTACAGATTGTCTGCGGCTGCTCTCAAACTACAAAGCAGACAGGGACTGTCTGGCCCACAAAGCCAAAACTATTGACTCTCTGGCCCTTTACGGAAAATGGGTGCTGCCCTCTGACCCAGATCAAGACAAGGAACACTTCTATCACCATGCATGTCCCGCTGTGGCTCCTGGCTTTCAGGAACCTCTGCCTAGAGAACACTACTTTTTTTGTGGGGGGGCGGGGGACGGAGTCTCACTCTGTTGCCCAGGCTGGAGTGCAGTGGTGCGATCTTGGCTCACTGAAACCTCCGCCTCCCAGGTTCAAGCAATTCTCTTGCCTCAGCCTTCCAAGTAGCTGGGATTATAGGCGCCCACCACCTCACCCAGCTAATTGTTTTTGTTTTTGAGTCAAAGTCTCGCTCTGTCGCCCAGGCTAGAGTGCAGTGGTGTGATCTTGGCTCACTGCAACCTCTGCCTCCCCAGTTCAAGCAATTCTGCTGCCTCAGGCTCCCGAGTAGCTGGGATTACAGATGCCCACCACCGTGCCCAGCTAATTTTTAAATTTTTAGTAGAGATGGGGTTTCACCACATTGGCCAGGCTGGTCTCAAACTCCTGACCCCATAATCCATCTGCCTCGACCTCCCAAAGTGCTGGGATTACAGGCGTGAGCTACTGCACCCGGCCCATATCCAGCTAATTTTTTATAGAAACGGGGTTTCACTGTGTTGTTCAGACTGGTCTAAAACTCCCGGGCTCCAGTGGTCCTCCCCTGTCCACCTCCCAAAAGTGCTGGGATTATAGTCATGAGCCGCTTTTTAACCAGGATGGAGATCTGGGCACACGTTTTTAGCCAGCATAGACATGGTGCGTGACTCCAGGGAAGTTCCTAGCGGTGTCTGAGCCTAGAGCAGGACCCCTGAGGCTGCCCAGGCCAGGCCGAGGGGGAAGGAAGGGGAGACCCTCACCAGGCTTGATGGGCTGGAGGGAGGACCCCGCGAGCTCTTCTGGGGGGAGCTGTCTGAGTCGGCGCCGAGATTCAGCTTCTCCACCGATACGTCACTGCGGCAGAAGAGAGAAGGCTGTGTCTGGGACGCAAGACCCTGGAAAGCTTTAAGGGGCAGCCAGGTCCCTGGGGCCCTCCTTGCTTACCTGGCAGTCCGGGCCTCGGACCCCGGAGAAGCCCCGGGGCTGAAGGTGCTGTTGGGGATGAGCCTCCGGAGCAGCCGCACCCACGTGGCGACGTCGATGTTCATCTGCCTGGCACGCTGGAACGCCTTCCCTGGGGAGATGGGGGCAGGTGTCACCCTTCCTGACACTCCCAGGACCCCCGGACTCTCCCCAAGGGGCTCTGGAGCAGCCTCTCACCTTGCTGCTTGGAGAAAATTTTCTTCTGCCGTCGGAGCCGAGGAATCCTCTCAATGACAGGGTTGCGGAAGGTGACCTGGGGGAAGGGACCAAAAGGTGAGGTCGCCCTGCCCACCTGCAGGCAGACAGCTTGGTGAGGAAGCCCCTAGGAGCACAGGCATGCGCACCCAAGAGGGGTTCTGGTCGTGGGGTGTCAAATTCAATCCAAGTACCAGGTGACAAGGAAGAGGTCATCAACGCTAGTCTCAAACTCCTGGCCTCAAATGATCCACCCACCTTGGCCTCCCAAAGTGCTGGGATTCCAGGCGTGAGCCATGGCACCTGGCCAAAGGTTCTATGGGCTGGTGCTGCAGAAAGTTCTAGGGGATGGTGCTTCTGTAGAGGCGTACAAACAAAACAGAATGCTATCGGCAGACCTTGAAGGCGAGGAGAAATGCTTTAGAATTTGTCCCCCAGGGTGGGGCATGGTGGCTCATGCCTGTAATCCCAGTACTTTGGGATGCCAAGGCGGGCAGATCATGAGGTCAAGAGATTGAGACCATCCTGGCTAACATGGTGAAACCCCGTGTCTACCAAAAATAAAAAATTAGCTGGGTGTGGTGGCGGGCTCCTGTAGTCCCAGCTACTCAGGAGGTTAAGGCAGGAGAATTGCTTAAACTCGAGAGGCAGAGGTTGCAGTGAGCCGAGATAGTGCCACTGCACTCCAGCCTGGTGACAGAGGAAGACTCCATCTCAAAAAATAAAAAAAAATATTTCAGTGGCTCATGCCTGTAATCCCAGCACTTTGGGAGGCCGAGGCGGGTGGATCACGAGGTCGAGAGATCGAGACCATCCTGGTCAACGTGGTGAAACCCCGTCTCTACTAAAAATACAAAAAAATTAGCTGGGCATGGTGGCACATGCCTGTAATCCCAGCTACTAAGGAGGCTGAGGCAGGAGAATTGCCTGAACCCAGGAGGCGGAGGTTGCAGTGAGCCGAGATCACGCCATTGCACTCTAGCCTGGGTAACGAGCGAAACTCTGTCTCAAAAAAAAAAAAAAATTTGTCCCCCAGGCCACCCACCACCACTTTCCATTTGGTTCTGGACTGTGTTCTGAAAGGAAGAATAATTTTAAAGCTCTGCCATCTGAAGTCAACCCCTCTCCACGCCCCTTTCCTTCAGTGGTCCTTGATGGTCAGACCAGGGAATAACCCCTGCTTGGGGATATGGACATAGAGAGATGGATAAACAGACAGATACAGAGACAGGTAGAGAGAGACGGGGGATGGATGGCTGGGTAGTTACAGCTAGAGAGAGAGATTGATAGAGATAGGGACACACGGAGATAGCAAGAAGGATGGATGGATATATAGATAAATACAGCTATACAGAAAACAATAGAGAGAGGCACAGATAGATACAGAGAATAGGCCGGGCGTGGTGGCTCACGCCTGTAATCCAAGCACTTTGGAGGCCAAGGCGGTTGGATCACCTGAGGTCAGGAGTTCAAGACCAGCCTGACCAACATGGTGAAACCCCATCTTTATTTAAAAAAAAAAAAGAAGAAGAAGATAGATATAGAGAATAGAGATAGAGAGCACATGGGTAGACATAAGAGAGAGGAATATACAGAGATGGATGGATGGATAAGATGACTGATGGATAATATGGATGGATGGATGCAAAGACAGATTGGTTGACAGATAATACAGATACATGGATAGATGGACAGACAGATGAACAGATGGATGGACAAATGGATGGATAGATGGATGGATGGATAAGATGACTGATAGATATAGATGGATGATGCAGAGACAGATTGGTTAATAGATAAACAGATGAATGGATGGATGGATGGATGAGATAAACAGATAATATAGATACCTATTATAGATGAATACATAGATAAAACAGATAATATAGGTACATCTATTAATGGACAGACAGATGCATAGATAAGATGGATGGATGAATGCACAGGAAAACAGACAGGATGGATGGATGGATACGAAGGTTAGTAGGTCGGTAGGTAGACTGTGTGTGTATACATACATAGGTAACCTACGCTATATATATATGTAAAACAGGGTATACCTTTAGGTTAGGGGAATATTAAAAGTGTTTTTAACGATAAATTGGCTAAATGAAGAGCAAGTGATTTTCCTCCTCTGTACCTCAGTTTCCTCCACTGTCAACTTTGAGTAATAACAGTCCCTCTTTTGTTGGGTGGCTGTGACAGTTAAGAAGTTCATGTTGGCAAAGTGCTTGCTACAGAGCCCAGCTTATGCTATAAGAACTCTGCTAGAAATGTTATTCAGATGGGAGTTCCCAACCGAAAACCCTTGACAATGTCTGGAGTTGTCTGGGCGGTCAAAGCTCAGGGGAGGTGGAGTCACCAACATCCTGTACGCAGTGGCCGGAGGTGCTGCTAAACATCCTCCAGAGCACGGGACAGCCCTGCCACAGACGATGACCAGGCCCCAGTATGAACAGCGCCAAAGATACGACACCTCCGTTCAGACCATCACCCTCCCACAACTGTGGATGGAATCGCTTTCTCTTGATGTGGCTCTTGTAGCAAACACCATAACACGCTGCCAGGTTTTGTATCTCTTTCCTGGCTGGATGAAATTTTATAATTTATTTACGTTTTTCTTTAAACATTTCTAAATTTGGAAATCAGCTGCTTCTTCCTCTTCTTTTTGTTTTTGAATATGTTGCTTCGGAACAAAACCAAACCCAGCTAAGGTCATGTCACTGATGTGGACTTTTTTTTTTTTTTTTTTTCTTTTTGTGAGACAGAGTCTCACTCTGTTGCCCAGGCTGGAGTGCAGTGGCATGATCTCAGTGGCATGATCTCCGCCTAAGGGGTTCCAGGGATTCTCCTGCCTCAGCCTCCCGAGTAGCTGGGAATACAGGTGCCCGATACCATACCCAGCTAATTTTTGTAGTTTTAGTAGAGGTGGGTTTTCACCATGTTGGCCAGGATGGTCTTGAACTCCTGGCCTCAAGTGATCCACCCGCCTCAGCCTCCCAAAGTGCTGGGATTACAGGTGTGAGGTACCATGCCCAGCCTAGAACAGGCAGATCTAAAGCCTATCTTCCCTTTCTAGAAGAGCCTGATCTAAAACATATCTTTCCCTCTAGAAGGTATCTATTTAAAATGTATCTTCCCCTTCCAGAAGAGAGAGATCTAAAACATACCTTCCCCTTTTAGACAAGCCTGACCTAAAACGTGTCTTCCCCTTACAGAAAAAGCAGATCTAAAACACATCTTCCCCTTCTAGAAGAGGCAGAGCTAAAAAGCATCTTCTCCTTCTAGAAAAGGCAGAGCTAAAACGTATCTTCCGTTTTTAGAAGAGCTGGATCTAAAACTTATTTTCCTCTTCTAGAAGAGCCTAAAACTTATCTTCCCCTTCTGGAAGAGCCAGACCTAAAATGTAGTTTTTTCCTTCTAGAAAACTGGAAGTTGGGGAGTGAGGGAGAAGCAGCATTTTCTCAGGGTCAGGGCTGTACCTCGGCCACCAAGCAGCCCTGGGGTTCCATGTCCAGCTGCACCTCATGCCTCTCATTGTCCAAGAAATCCTCCAGCTTCAGGAATTTGAGGGCACACAGGCCCCGCTGGTCCCGCCAGAACACTGCCAATTCCAGTTCCCGTGCCTAGAGGGAGAGGAAGAGGGCCATCACTCAGGGTGCCGGAGGCATGGAAGCCCTCCTCCCCTCAGCCCTATTGCCCTTCAACACAGCTCACCCTCTCGAGCTCCAGGGTGAAGCTCTGGTCCCACGCGTTGGGGCCACACGGCTTCCAAGACGTCTGCCCCACCACTGTGTTATCCAGCTTAAGCACAGTGCTGACTTCATCTGAAACAGGGAGAGGGCTCAGTCAGAAAACGCTGGCAGTGGCCAGGCGAAGGTGGCTCATGCCTGTCATCCCAACACTTTGGGAGGTCGAGGCAGGCGGATCACTTGAGGCTAGGAATTCCAGACCAGCCTGGCCTTCATGGTGAAATCCCATCTCTACAATACCTACAAAAATGAGGGCCGGGCGCGGTGGCTCAAGCCTGTAATCCCAGCACTTTGGGAGGCCGAGGCGGGTGGATCACGAGGTCGAGATATCAAGACCATCCTGGTCAACATGGTGAAACCCCGTCTCTACTAAAAATACAAAAAGTTAGCTGGGCATGGTGGCTCGTGCCTGTAATCCCAGCTACTCAGGAGGCTGAGGCAGGAGAATTGCCTGAACCCAGGAGGCGGAGGTTGCGGTGAGCCGAGATTGCACCATTGTACTCCAGCCTGGGTAACAAGAGCGAAACTCCGTCTCAAAAAAAAAAAAAAAAAAATTAGTTGGTCGTGGTGGCACACACCTGTAATGCCCAGTACTTGGGAGACTGAGGCAGGAGAACTGCTTGTACCCGGGAGGCTGAGGTTGCACTGAGCTGAGCTCATGCCACTGCACTCCAGTTTGGGTGACACAGCGAGACTCTGTCTCAAAAAAAGAAAAGAAAAACAGCTGGGCATAGTGGCTCATGCCTGTAATCTCAACACTTTGGGAAGCTGAGGCAGGAGGATCACTTGAGGTCACGAGTTTGAGACCAGCCTGACTTAACGTGATGAAACCCTGTGTCTACTGAAAATACAAAATCACCCAGGCGTGGTGGTTCATGCCTGTAACCCCAGCTACTCAGGAGGTTGAGGCAGGAGAATCACTTGAACCCAGGAGGCAGAGGTTGCAGCGAGCTGAGACTGAGCCATTGCACTCCAGCCTGGGCAACAAGAGCAAAACTCTGTCTCAAACCAAAAAAAAAAAAAAAAAAAAAAAAAAAAAGAAGAAGAAGAAAAGAAAAAAGAAAATGCTGGCAGAAAGAGGCATCTCTATTACCTATTTCTTTTTTTTTTTTTTTTCCTTTTTTGATAGAGATGAGTCTTGTCATGTTGCCCAGGCTGGTCTCGAACTCCTGGCCTCAAGTGATTCTCCTGCCTCAGCCTCCCAAGTCTGGGATTACAGGCATCAGTCACCAGGCCTGGCTGTCTACTATCTATTTTTTTTTTTTTTTTTTGAGACGGAGTTTCGCTCTTGTTACCCGGGCTGGAGTGCAATGGCGCAATCTCGGCTTACCACAGCCTCTGCCTCCTGGATTCAGGCAATTCTCCTGCCTCAGCCTCCTGAGTAGCTGGGACTACAGGCACGTGCCACCATGCCCAGCTAATTTTTTGTATTTTTAGTAGAGACGGGGTTTCACCATGTTGACCAGGATGGTCTCGATCTCTTGACCTCGTGATCCACCCGCCTCGGCCTCCCAAAGTGCTGGGATTACAGGCTTGAGCCATCGCGCCCGGCCTACTATCTTTTTTAAAGAAATCCTCCCTCCGTAACTTTTCTGCCACTGTAAAGTTTTGCATTTGACATTAAAGTCTTTAAATCCAGCTGATGTTTTCACTGTGGTATAAAGTGAGGCAGGGATCCAAATTCACGTTTATTCTACGTGGAAGTCTCAGCAACAGATGCCTAAGGATTTACTGATTGATTGATTGAGCCAGTCTCCCTCTGTCTCCCAGGCTGGAGTGCAGTGGCGCAATCTTGGCTCGCTGCAACTTCTACCTCCTGACTTGAAGATTCTCACATCTCAGCCTCCAAAGTAGCTCGGACTACAGGCACACACCACCATGTTCAGCTAATTTTTGTGTTTTTAGTAGAGATGGGGTTTCACCATGTTGGCCAGGCTGGTCTCGAACTCCTGACCTCAAGTGATCTGCCCGCCTTGGCCTCCCAAGTGCTGGGATTACAGGTGTGAGCCACGCACCCAGCCACTCCTAAAGATCACCCTAGTAAAATGCATGTGGGTATACATCAGGAGATACATCTATATAAAGTATATATGATGGCCCAAAATAGAGGCATCCCACAGTCCATTAACAGGGGAATTAATATTTTAAAACTGCAATACAATCTTAATAGCTGAAGTATGAAATTGCTGATATTTAACTATTTTTTTTTTTTTTTTGCTTTCAGAAAAAAGCAATTTGATATGGCTTAGTCTAACATAATGGATTATTAAGCAGGAAAAAATATGAATTAACTATATCTTCCCACAACAGAATAGATGAGTCTCCCAAAACAATGTTGTTTTTTGTTAATTTTTGTTGTTGTTGTTTCTGAGATGGAGTCTCACTCTGTCACCCAGGCTGGAGTGTAGTGGCGAAATCTCGGCTCACTGCAACCTCCGCCTCTCAGGTTCAAGGGATTCTCCTGCCTCAGCCTCCCGAGTAGCTGGGATGAGAAGCGCCACATCTCCCCTTCCCTCCGCCAACACTCCTGGCTAATTTTTGTATTTTTAGGAGAGACGGGATTTCACCATGTTGGCCAGCATGGTCTTGAACTCCTAACCTCGTGATCCACCCACCTCGGCTTCCCAAAGTGCTGGGATTACAGGCCTCAGCCGCTGCACCGCTCTTTTTCTCTTTTCTTTTTAAGATGGAGTCTCTCTTGGTCACCCAGGCTGGAGTCCAATGGTGCAAATACAGCTCACTGTAGCCCTGACCTCCTGAGCTCAAGCAGTCCTCCCATTTCAGCCTCCTAAGTAGCAGGGACCATATTTTTGATTCATCTGTTTTCTCTTTTTTCCTCCATTATTTTTCTTTTCTGTGACACAGACTCAGGAGGGCCGACAACATGTACCCCAATTTTTTTATTATTTGTAAAGACAAGGTCTTACTATGTTGCCCAGGCTGGTCTTGAACTCTTGGGCTGAAGTGATCCTCCTGAATCAGCCTCCCAAGTGCTGGGATTACTCAGCCTCCCAAGGCATCTGGCTGCAATATTCTTTCTTTATTTTGATGGACAGGGTTTCACCATGTTGGCCAGGCTGGTCTTGAACTCCTGACATCAGGTGATCTGCCTGCCTCGGCCTCCCAAAGTGCTGGGATTACAGGCGTAAGCCACCTTGCCCGGCCTCGCAACATTCTATTTCTGAACCCAGGTGGTGGTAACATGAGTGTTTGCTCTCCTGTTATTCTTCCCAACACTCCCTTATTTATTTATTTATTTTTTGTACATAAGTGTTAATTTTCTTTCTTCTTTTTTAGCCACAAGATTAGGAATTAAATTTTCTTTTTAAAAAAATTATGGCTGGGCGCGGTGGCTCAAGCCTGTAATCCCAGCACTTTGGGAGGCCGAGGCGGGTGGATCACGAGGTCAAGAGATCGAGACCATCCTGGTCAACATGGTGAAACCCCGTCTCTACTAAAAATACAAAAAACTAGCCGGGCGTGGTGGCGCGTGCCTGTAATCCCAGCTACTCAGGAGGCTGAGGCAGGAGAATTGCCTGAGCGCAGGAGGCGGAGGTTGCGGTGAGCCGAGATCGCACCATTGCACTCCAGCCTGGGTAACAAGAGCGAAACTCCGTCTCAAAAAAAAAAAAAAAAAAAAAAAAAAATTATGAGGCCGGGCATGGGGTGGCTCATGCCTGTAATCTCAGCACTTTGGGAGGCCAAGGCAGCCAGATCACCTGAGGTTGGGAGTTCGAGACCAGCCTGGCCAACATGGTGAAACCCAGTCTCTACTAAAAATACAAAAATTAGCCGGGCATGGTGGTTCATGCCTGTAATTCCAACTACTCAGGAAGCTGAGGCAGGAGAATCGCTTGAACCCTGGAAGCTGAGATTGCAGTGAGGAGAGATCGCACCATTGCACTCCAGCCTGGTCAACAAGATCGAAACTCCATCTCAAAAAAAAATTATGGGGCCGGGCGCGGTGGCTCAAGCCTGTAATCCCAGCACTTTGGGAGGCCGAGGCGGGTGGATCTCAAGGTCAAGAGATCAAGACCATCTTGGTCAACAAGGCGAAACCCCGTCTCTACTAAAAATACAAAAAATTAGCTGGGCATGGTGGCTCGTGCCTGTAATCTCAGCTACTCAGGAGGCTGAGACAGGAGAATTGCCTGAACCCAGGAGGCAGAGGTTGCGGTGAGCCGAGATCGTGCCATTGCACTCCAGCCTGGGTAACAAGAGCGAAACTCCGTCTCAAAAAAAAAAAAAAAAAAAAAAAATTATGGTAAAATACATATAACATTTTAAAAATTATGGTAAAATACATATAACATAAAATTTATCATTTTTTTTTCTTTGAGATTGGGTCTCGCTCTGTCACCCAGGCTGGAGTCCAGTGGCGCCATCTCGGCTCACTGTAACCTCCACCTCCAGGTTCAAGCAATTCTCTGCCTCAGCCTCCCGAGTAGATAGGATTACGGGTGCCTGCCACTACGCCCAGCTCATTTTTGTATATTTAGTAGAGATGGTGTTTTACCACGTTGGCCAGGCTGGTCTCAAACTCCTGACCTCGTGATCTGCCTGCCCCAGCCTCTCAAAGTGCTGTGATTACAAGCATGAGCCACTGTGCCTGGCCATCACAGTCATGTTTAAGTGTCCAGTTCAGTGGCATTAAGTACATTCATACTGCTGTGCAACCATTACCACCATCCACCTCCAGAACTCTTTCACCTTACACAACCAAAGCTCTGTCCACATTAAATAACTCCCCATTCCCCGCTCCCTCTACCCCTGGGCATCCATCATTCCACTTTCTGACTCTATGAGTCTGACTACTCTAGAGGCATCATATAACTGAATCATAAAATATTTGTCTTTTGGGGACTGGCATGTAGCCTAATGTCCTCAAGGTTCATCCATGTTGCAGCATGGGACGGGATTTCTTTCCCCCTATTTTTTTTTTGTTGTTGTTGTTGAGATAGAATGTCACTCACTGCCCAGGCTGGAGTGCAGTGGCATGATCTTGGCTCATTGCAACCCCTGCCTCCTGGGCTCAAGCGATTTTCCTACCTCAACCTCCTGAGTAGCTGGGACTATAGGTATGTGCCACCACGCCCAGTTAATTTTTTGTATTTTTAATAGAGATGGGGTTTCACCATGTTGCCCAGGCTGGTCTCAAACTCCTGAGCTCAAGTGATCCACCTGTCTCGGCCTCTGAAAGTGCTGGGATTACAGGTCTGAGCCACCACACCTGGAAAGATTTATTTCCTTTTTATTTATTTATTTTTTATATTATTTAATTTTATATATATATATTTTTTTTTCTTTTTTGAGAGCGAGTCTCATTCTGTTGCCCAGGCTGGAGTGCAGTAGTGCAGTCTCTGCCTCCCAGGTTCAAGCAATTCTCTTCTCAGCCTCCCGAGTAGCTGGGATTACAGGGGCCTGCCACCATGCCCGACTAAGTTTTTGTATTTTTAGTAGAGACAGGGTCTCACCCTGTTGGCCAGGCTGGTCTCGAACTCCTGACCTTGTGATCCGCCCACTTCAGCCTCCCAAAGTGCTGGGATTATAGGCCTGAGCCACCACACCTGGCCTTCTCTCTTTTTCATTTTATTATTATTATTTTTTGAGACAGTGTCTCACTCTGTTGCCCAGGCTGGAGTGCAGTGGGTGCAATCTCTGCTCACTGCAACCTTCACCTCTCTGGTTCAAGCAATTCCCCTGCCTCAGCCTCTGGAGTAGCTGGGATTACAGGCGCATACCACCACGCCTGGCTAATTTTTTGTATTTTTAGTAAAGACGGGGTTTCGCCATGTTGGCCAGACTGGTCACAAACTCCTGACCTCAGGCACTCCGCCCATCTCAGCCTCCCAAAGTGCTGGGATTACAGGCGTGAGCCACTGCTCCGGGCCTTATTTCCTTTTTAAATCTGAGTAATGTTCCATTGTACGGCTGGCCCACGTCTTGTTTATCCATTCATCTATTGGTGGACACAGGATTGCTTCCATTTTTGGCTTTCATAATGCTGCTATGAACACAGGTATACAAATATCTCTTTGAAATCCTTTTATTTTTTAAATATTTTTCTATCACTATTTTTAAAACTGACAAATAAAAATTATAAGTATTTGTCAAGTACACCACGTTGTTATGAAATATGTATACATTATGGAACCTCTGAGGCCCTGTTTTTAATCCTTTTGGGGATATGCCCAGAAGTAGAATTGGATCATATGGTTACTCTGGATTGTTTGGTTTTTTGTGGGTTTTTTTGGGGTGGGTTTTTTTTTTTTTTTTTTTTTTTTGAGACAGAGTCTCACTCTGTCACCCAGGCCGGAGTGCAGTGGCATGATCTCGGCTCACAGTAACCTCTGCCTCCCAGGTTCAAGCAATTCTCCCGCCTCACCCTCCGGAGTGCTGGGACTACAGGCACGCACCACCACGCCCAGCTAACTTTTGTATTTTTAGCAGAGATGGCGTTTCGCCATGATAGCCAGGCTGGTCTTAAACTCCTGACCTCAAGTGATCCAACTGCCTCGGCCACCCAAAGTGCTGGGATTACAGGTGTGAGCCACTGCTCCTGGCCTGGCTACTCTGTTTTTAATTGTTTCGGGAACTCCATATCTCTATCTATATAGATATAGATATAGATATACACACACACACACACACACATATGTGTATATATATGTATGTATAAATATGTATATATATGTATATATATATGCGTGTGTGTGTATATATATATATATTTTTATTTTTTTGAAACAGAGTCTCTTTCTGTCACCCAGGCTGGAGTGCAGTGGCACGATCTCTGCTTACTGCAACTTCTGCCTCCTGGGTTCAAGCAATTCTGCCTCAGCCTTCTGAGTAGCTGAGATCACAGACACACATCACCATGTCCAACTAATTTTTGTATTTTTAGTAGAGATGGGGTTTGCCAATGATAGCCAGGCTGGTCTCGAACTCCTGACTTCAGGTAATCTGCCCCCCTCAGCCTCCCAAAGTGCTGGGATTACAGGTGTCAGCCACCAAGCCTGGCCATGCCAATATATTTTCCATAGAGGCCGCACCATGTTATATTCCCACCAACGGTGCACAAAGGTTCTAACTTCTCTCCACATCCTCACCAACATTTGTTATTTTCTGTTTGTTTTGTTGGGTTTTAAAAATAGTATTAGTCATCCTAATGAGTATGACATACTGGTTTCTCGTTTCGTTTTCCTTTTTCTTTTCTTTTTTTTGAGACGGAGTTTCGCTCTTGTTACCCAGGCTGGAGTGCAATGGCGCGATCTCGGCTCACCGCAACCTCCGCCTCCTGGGTTCAGGCAATTCTCCTGCCTCAGCCTCCTGAGTAGCTGGGATTACAGGCACGCGCCACCATGCCCAGCTAAGTTTTTGTATTTTTAGTAGAGACGGGGTTTCACCATGTTGACCAGGATGGTCTCGATCTCTTGACCTTGTGATCCACCTGCCTCGGCCTCCCAAAGTGCTGGGATTACAGGCATGAGCCACCGCACCCGGCCCTCTTTTTCTTTTTTTAATCTAGGTAAACGTGAATGTTGTTGTTTTTTAATTTAGAGACAGAGTATTACTCTGTTGTCTAGGCTGGAGTGAAATGGCTCAAAGATAGCTCACTACAGCCTGGAGCTCCAGGGCTCAAGTAATCTTCCCATCTCAACCTTTACAATAGCTAGGACTACAGATGCAGGCCACCATACCTGGCTAATTTTTACATTTTATTTTATTTATTTATTTATTTATTTATTTATTTATTTATTTATTTTTTGAGACGGAGTGTTTCACTCTTGTTGCCCAGGCTGGAGTGCAATGGCGCGATCTCGGCTCACCGCAACCTCCGCCTCCTGGGTTCAGGCAATTCTCCTACCTCAGCCTCCTGAGTAGCTGGGATTACAGGCACACACCACCATGCCCAGCTAATTTTTAGTATTTTTAGTAGAGACAGGTTTCACCATGTTGACCAGGATGGTCTCGATCTCTTGACCTCGTGATCCACCCGCCTCGGCCTCCCAAAGTGCTGGGATTACAGGCTTGAGCCACCGCGCCCAGCCAAGTTTTGTATTTTTAAGTAGAGACAGTGTTTCACTATGTTGGCCAGGCTGGTCTCAAACTCCTGACCTCAAGTCATCTGCCCACCTTGGCTTTCCAAAGTGCTGGCATTACATGTGTGAGCCACCATGCTCGACCCATGGCCTATTTTTTTTTTCTTGAGACAGAGTCTCACTCTGTTGCCCAGGCTGAAGGGCAGTGGTGCAATCTCAGCTCATTGCAACCTCCACCTTCTGGGTTCAAGTGATTTTCCTATCTCAGCCTCCTGAGTAGCTGGGACTATAGGGGTGCATCACCATGCCTGGCTAATTTTTGTATTTTTAGTGGAGACAGGGTTTCACCATATTGGTCAGGCTGATCTCAAACTCCTGACCTTGTGATCCACTTGCCTCAGCCTCCCAAAGTGCTGGGATTATTGGCATGAGCCACTGTGCCCGGCCCCTGGCCTGTTTTTTAAAGGGTTAGAAATATGGGGCATTCCGGGTCCCCCATGCCACCCCGTTTCTCAGGGTCCACGATGCCCACTCACTGCTGTTCTCTGCTTCTGCTTTGAGGCTGCTCCGGCCACTGAGGCTTCCACTTCGGCTGTAAAGGCCCCGGGCCGGACGGCTCAGGAAGGTGGGGCGGCTGTCTGGGGTCCCAGGTCCCCCCACTGAGGGTGTAGGGTTCCAGGGGATGGTCTCTGGGAGGTCTCTGCAGCCCACCACACGTACCTCCAGGGTCCCTGCAGGAGGGGAAGGCTCAGCAGGGGGGCCACGTATGGGACAGGCTGAGGGGAGGGGACCACAGTGGGGAGGGGACATATCCAGACACAGCCACGGTACAAATGGGAGCCAGTGAAGAACAGCCAGGGTGGAGCACGGGGCCTGAGGCCGGGACGTCCATGCTGGGACAGGAGAATATGAGACAAGCGGTCCTGCCGCGAGGGGCTCAGATGTGGGAGTTTCGAGGCAGAAGAGAGGTTCAGGGTGCAGGCCAGGGGCCCAGGCAAGCAGAAACAGGGTAGGACTAGGAGTTCTCGGGGAGGATTCGGTGGACAATCTGAGGTCTGAGATGGGCTAGGGGTCTATGGTGGGGCTGGTCTGGAGTGGTAGATGGCTGAGGGGTCTGGTGGGTCTGGCTGGTCTGCAGCAGGGGGTAGGAGGCTCATGGCTGAGGGTTGTGAGGCTGAGGTGGGGGACAAGGGCTAGGGGAAAATACTGGGCCAGGTGAGGAGGGGTGGAGAAATTGAGGAGTGGGGAGGGGCAACAGCCCAGGGTGCAATGGGGTGTCTACTGGAGAGTGGAGGGGACAGTGGGATGGGAGTCCAGGGTTGGGGAGAATGGCAATTGAAGTTGGGGGTCACAGGAATGGGGAAATGAGAGGAGTCAGAGGCCCAGGGCTGCGTGGGAGGGGCAGGTCTCAGGCCTACCTGTGAGCGGCGCGGGCTTGCACAGGGTGCTGTAGTGAGTGGCGGGGAAGGGACCGGCCAGGCGGGCGCTGAACGCAGCAGACGAGGCTGCAGCGAGCTCTTCTCTCAGCAGCCGCCCCTTGGGGTGGTCGGCGGGCAGCTCCCCGAGCCTCCGCTCCAGAGCCTCCCGCAGCAGCCCCAACTTCTGGTTGGATTCTGTCAATTTCTCCTGGGCCTGCGATGGGAAGAGTGGTTCTGGGGGCCGAACCAGGCTTGCAGCTTCCCAAGTGCAGGCTTAGGCCCCACCACCAGGCTGGCTGAGTCCCGCACTGGACTCCTTCCTAGAGGCCTAAACCTCAAACCAACTGGGTCCCACCCCTGGGAAAACTAGACTCTGCCCCTTGCAGAGGCCCCTCCCCTCACGGAGGGCCATTCCTGCCTGAAACCACGCCCCTCGCTGAGGCCCCGCCCCTCACACGGCACTGTTCCTTGACGCCCCGCCCCTCCCCTGGTTGAAGCCCCGCCCCTCACAGCAGGCTACACTGGCAGATGCCCCACCCCGTATGAAGGTTACACCCCCTTTGAGGCTCCACCCCTCCCCATGGCCATTCCTGGCAAAGTCCCCGCCGCTTGCTGAAGCTGCGCCCCCAGCTAAAGCCCCACCTCTAATGAAAGCTCCGCCCCTCACCTCACTGACAGCCTTGCGGTCCGGGGCCTTGGCAGCGCTGAGCAGGCGCAGCACGTTCTTGGCACCCTCGGCCACCGCGTGCTCCACTCGGAAGTGGTGCCGCAGCTCTTCGATGCGCAGCTCCACGGCCCCAAGGTCAGGACTTCCTGTGAGCGTGGAATACAGGGCAGTGAGGCTAGCCTGCAGTGCCCCACCAACCGAGTCCCAGACACGCAGCCATTCACAGGAACAGGCATGGGCCACAGACAAACCATCATGAAGATGCATCACAGTTCATCCAAAGGGTGGGCACAGTGACACTGTCGCACTGTCAACTGCAGGCAGCCACACTTCCACCCAGACTCTTTTATCCAAACACCATCACTCACAGGGCCAGTCCTAGGGACAAAGTTACCCTGTTATGGGGGACGGTCTGAGCAATGATACACAGGCACACTGTCACTCCAGGCTTAGAGACAGACACATTGTCACGGTCCCTCTTCACCTCCAGGGATTTGCACAGGGACAGACATGGGTACGCTGTGGCCCCAAGGATAGTCACATTTTCTAGATTCAGACAGTCACCCAGGGGCTGAAACCCAAAGAGATAGAAACATAAATCATAGGCTGGGTAATCCCAGTGCTTTGGGAGACCAAGACTGGTGGATCACTTGAGGTCAGGAGTTTGAGACCAGCCTGGCCAACATGGTGAAACCTGTCTCTACTAAAAATACAAAAATTTATTAGATCCTTTTGTAGTTCATGAGCATGATGATTGGGTGTTCACATACTTGTGTGAGATGTGCCACCCTCGAACCTTGTTATGACGTTGGCACATTACCCATCTGACCTGAACTTGGAAAAATACAAAAATACAAAAATTAGCCGGGCATGGTGGTGCATGCCTGTGGTCTCAATTACTTGAGAGGCTGAGGCAGGAGAATCACTTTAACCTGGGAAGTGGAGGCTGCAGTGAGCCAACATCACACCACTGCACTCCAGCCTCGGTGACAGACCGAGACTCCATCTCATTAAAAAAAAAAAAAATCATACTGTCATACCCATGTTGACACACCTCACTCCCCAATGAACAGTCACCAGGTTACACAGTCAACCAGGCACGGTAACACTCATGGGCATTTGGACAACCACAGAGATACAACTATACTCACACAGATGGCATCAGTCACAAAGACACTGTTAGAGACTGAATGTTTGTCTCCTACCAAATTCCTGTGTTGAACCCCTAATCCCCAATGGGATGGCACTTGGAGAAAGGGCCTTTGGGAGGTAATTAGGGTTAGATGAGGTCATGGAGGAAGGGCCATCATGATGAGATTAGTGCCCTTATCTGAAGAGGAAGAGGCTGGCCACAGTGGCTCACACCTGTAATCCCAGTGCTCTGGGAAGCTGAGGCAGAAGGATCGCTTGAGGCCAGGAGTTTGAGACCAGCCTGGGCACCATAGAGAGACCTTGTCTTACTATAAATAAATAAATTAGCCAGGCATGGTGGCGTGTGCCTGCAGTCCCAGCTACTCAGGAGGCTAAAGCAGGAGGATCACTTGAGCCCTGATGGTCAAGGCTGCAGTGAGCTGTGATCATGCCAATGCGTGCCAGCCTGGGTGAGAGACCAAGACCCTGTCTCAAAAAAATAAAAATAAAAAACAAGAGGAAGAGACACGAAGGCTCTCTCCCTGCCATGTGAAGACGCAGTAAGAAGGCAGCCATCTCTAAGCCAGGAAGAGATCCCTCACCAGGAAGCGACCATGCTGGCACCCTGACCTGGGACTGCCAGTCTCCAGAACTATAAGAAAGATAAATGTCTGTTGTTTAAGCCATTCAGCCTATGGGACTTTCTTATGGCGGCCCAAGCCAAGTAAGACAGGCACTGTCGCATTGACACTGTCACACTGTCGCCCACAGGGACACACAGCATTACCACTTTGTCACCAGCGTGGGAACACTGTCACCTGCAGGCAGAGGAACACATACTGTGTCACAGATGCAGTCACACTGCTGCATAGAGACACTGTCATGAGTCAGGCTCTGTTATACAGACACAGCCCTGTCACCTTGGGCACAGGGACACCATTATAGGGGCAGAGAAGCATGGTCACAGACACAAATGCCTTTATGCCCAAGCACAGGGTCAAGAAAAGGGGCACAGGCCAGGCATGGTGGCTCACTCCTATAATCTCAACACTTTGGGAGGGTCAGGCAGGAGGACTACTTGAGGTCAGGAGTTTGAGACCAACCTGGGTGACATAGCAAAATCCAGTCTCCACAAAAAAAAAAAAAAAAATTTTTTTTTTTTTTGAGACAGAGTCTTGCTCTGTCACCCAGCTGGAGTGCAGTGGTGCAATCTTGTCTCACTGCAACCTCTACCACCTGAGTTCAAGCAATTCTTCTGCCTCAGCCTCCCAAACAGCTGGGACTACAAGTGTGTGCCACCACGCCTGGCTAATTTTTTTTGTATTTTAGTAGAGACGGCGTTTCACCATATTGGCCAGGGTCCTGACCTCATGATCCACCAACCTCGGCCTCCCAAAGTGCTGGGAGCCACCGCACCTGACCAAATTTTTTTTTTAATTAGCTGGGTGTGGTGGCACATGCCTGAGGTCCCAGCTACTCAGCAGGATTGTTCGAGCCCAGAAGGTCAAGCCTGCAGTGAGTTATGATTGTGCCACTGCATTCCAGCCTGGGCAACACAGCCAGGCCCTGTCTAAACAAAAAAATAGTGTGTCTTGGGGGATGTGTCAGTGTGATGGTGTGATTGTGAATACCCACATGGACTTCGCAGTGACTGTGTGTAATGGTAGGATCAGATTCCATTGTCTCTGGGTGTTGTCATAAGCATGGGTGACTGGGTGACTTTATCCCTAAAAGTTTCAGTGACTGATTAAGCAGACTGATTAAGCACCATGTGGCAGCAGGTCTAGGGGTGACAGTGAGACTGTGTTTTGTGTGTGTGTGTGTGTGTGTGTTTGAGACAGAGTATCACTCTGTTGCCCAGGCTGGAATGCAGTGGTGCAATCTCAGCTCACTGCAACCTCTGCCTCCCGGGTTCAAGCAACTCTCCTCCCTCAGCCTCCTGAGTAGCTGGGACTACAGGTGCGCAACACAATGCCCAGCTGATTTTTGTATTTTTAGTAGAGACGGTGTTTCATCATGTTGGCCAGGCTGGTCTCAAACTCCTGACCTTAAATGATCCACCCCCTTGGCTTCCAAAGTGCTGGGATTATAGGCGTCAGCCACTGCACCCAGCTGAGGCTGTGTTTATAAGGCAACGTGCCTGTGACTATCAACGTCCCTGCGACTGTGTCTGTGTTATTGGTGTCCAGGTGAGTGACACGTGGGCACAGTGTGGCTGTGAGTGTGACCCTCTGAGACCAAGTGCCAGGGTCATTATTGAGAATAGTCAGGCCAAGCGTGGTGGCTCACATCTGAAATCCCAGCACTTTGGGAGGCCAAGGCGGGTGGATCACAGGTTAGGAATTCGAGACCAGCCTGACCAGCATGCTGAAACCCCATCTCTACTAAAAATACAAAAATTAGCCTGGCATGGTAGCAAGTGCCTGTAATCCCAGCTACTTGGGAGGCTGAGGCAGGAGAACTGCTTGAACCCGGGAGGCAGAGGTTGCAGTGAGCCAAGATCGCACCACTGCACTCTGGCCTGAGCAATAGAGTGAGACCCTGTCTCAAAAAAAAGAATAATTATTTTAATAAGACTGTCCTAGGAAACTATAGCCATGAATAAGAGTGATCTGTGGGTGACAAATGTCCTACACCTGTGTGACTGTGTCCTCGTGCCTCTCCCTGTGCCACTGGGTGACTGTGTCCCTGTGACTTCACACTGGGTGTGAGAACACACTCAGTTTTTTTCCCTGTGACATTGGGTCTCTATGCCTGTGGCTGTCAGTGACACTGACTTGCCTGTGCGACAACGTGATGGCATTTCTTCACCTGTCCCTATGCTTTACCGTACGGCAGTGTGATTACGTTTTGATTGTCCCTGGGCTCTAGTTAGAGCCTGGACTGGACTCAAGTGAGCCTCCCATCTCAGCCTCCTGAGTGAGTAGCTGGGACCACAGGTGCACGCCACCACGCCCAGCTAATTAAAAAAAATTTTAGGCTGGGTGTGGTGGCTTACACCTGTAATCCCAGCACTTTGGGAGGCCAAGGTGGGCAGATCACCTGAGGTCAGGAGTTCAAGACCAGCCTGGCCAACATGATGAAACCCCATCTCTACTAAAAATACAAAAAATCAGTCAGGCACAGTAGTACACGCCTGTAATCCTAGCTACTTGGGAGGCTGAGGCAGAAGGATCGCTTGAATCTGGGAGGCAGTGGTTATAGGGAGCCATGATCGCATCACTGCACTCCAGCCTGGATGATGAAGTGACTCTGTGTCAAAAGAAAAACCAAAAAAACTGAAACACACATCAGTAGTATGGACGCAGACAGCCCTGCACACAATACACCAAGATCCTGTCACAAATTCAGGCTGACAATCCCAGCAAGTTGAGTTTGAGAGACACCCCCAGGCATTCATCCACACAGATGCACACAGAAAAACACACACACATGCACACGCCAGGCATACTCACAGTTTTGCACACAGAGGGGCTGTGGTGACAAGACAACCACCTAATCCAGGGGTCCACACCTTCTTTTTGGTAGTTAGATGGCTGGCCAAGTGCAGTGGCTCATGCCTGTAATCCCAGCACTCTGGGAGGCTGAGGTGGGTGGATCACCTGAGGTCAGGAGTTCAAGGCCAGCCTGGCCAACATAGTGAAACCCCATCTCTACTAAAAATACAAAAATTAGTCAGGTGTGGTGGCAGTGCCTGTAATCCCAGCTACTCGGGAAGCTGAGGCAGGAGAATTGTTGGAACTCAGGAGGCGGAGGCTGCAGTGAACTGAGATCACACCACTGCACTCCAGCCTAGGTGACATAGTGAGACTCCATATCGAAAAAAAAAAAAAAAAAAAAAAGTCAGATAGCAAATAATTTTGACTTTACAGCCCATAAGGCTCTGTTGCACTACTTGACTCTGCTGTTGTGATTTAAAAGCGATCAAAAACATAGTAAATGAATTGGCGTGACTATGTACCAATAAAACTTTACTGACAAAAAAAGACGACCAGTAGATTTGGTCTGAAGGTGGTAATTTACCAATCCGTGATGTAATCCAAACTTTGCAAGGGACAAAATGGGAAGCTCTGGCCCCATGTGTTGAAGTCTCCCACCAGGTCCGAGGACCCACCTCCCTACCCCAGAAAGGGACCCACTACAGGAGCCAGAGGCTGAGCCCTGCCAGGCGAGATGCAGGTTAAGCTGTCTGGAGGCCAGGGACTCACCTTGGGTCTCATCGGGGGCCGCCTGGCTCTCCAGCTGGCCAGCCTGCAGCGCCCGGCGAAGTTGCATGCGGATGATGTCTATCTTGGTCTTACTGTCCTGCAACATCTGCTGGGCTGTCAGCAGCAGCTTCCGGTCCTGGAGACAGAGACAGGCTGTGAGAGGAAGGCTGGGTGGCTGGGGTCTGGCCACACCTCACAGGTCCTAGGTGACGTGTGGATGTGACAGCACGCATTTGCAGGCTGGGCACGGTGCCTCACACCTGTAATCCCAGCACCTCGGGAGGCCGAGTCGGGTGGATTGCTTAGCCCGGGAGTTCGAGACCAGCCTGGGCAACCTATGGCAAGACCCTGTCTCCCTAAAAAATACAAAAATTAGCTGGGCATGGTGGCGTGCACCTGTGATCCCAGCTACTCAGGGCTGAGGCGGAAGATCACTCAAGCCCAGGAGTTGGGAGGCTGCAATGAGTTGAGATTGCATCGCTGTCCTCCAGCCTGAGCAACAGAGCAAGACCCTGTCTCAAAGTAAAGAAATAAGTAAATAAATGCACTTCCATGCATTCCTGGGTACAGTGGTGTGACGTAGTCCATGGGGTTTGGATACTGGCTCTACTACCCAACATCTGTGTGACTTCCGGCAAGCCATTCAACCTCTTTTGGCAGCAATTAATTAATTAATTAATTATGTCTTGTTGAGACAGAGTCTCACTCTGTTGCCCAGGCTGGAGTGCAGTGGTGCAATCTCAGCTTCCTGCAACCTCCGCCTCCTAGGTTCAACCGATTCTCTTGTCTCAGCCTCCCGAGTAGCTGGGATTACAGGCATGCACCACCAGGCCCAGCGAATTTTTGTATTTTTTTTTAGTAGAGTTGGGGTTTCACCATGCTGGCCAGGCTGATCTGGAACCCCTGACCTCAAGTGATCCACCTGCCTTGGCCTCCGAAAACGCTGGGATTACAGGCATGAGTCACCGCCTGGCCTACTCTACTCATTTTCATTGGGTCAGTATCACCCCCAGGGGGCAGAAATTCTTTCTTAGGAGGTGAGAAACTCTTTGTTTTTGTTTTTGTTTTTGTTATTGAGAAGGAGTCTTGCTCTGTTGCTAGGCTGGAGTGCAACAGTGGAATCTCAGCTCATGGCAACTTCTGCCTCCCAGGTTCAAGTGATTCTCCTGCTTCAGCCTCCCAAGTAGCCAGGATTACAGGCGTGCGCCATCACGTCCAGCTAATTTTTAGTATTTTTAGGAGAAACGGTGTTTCACCACGTTGGCCAGGCTGGTCTTGAACTCCTGACCTCATAATCTACCCACCTCAGCCTCCCAAAGTGCTGGGATTAAAGGCATGAGTCACTGTGCCCAGCGAGGAGATGAGAAACTCTTATTCTTTTTGTATATAATGCTCAGATACACATAAAAAAATATGCGATTGATCTGGACTAAATTTTCATAGAATGTTTTCAATTACTTGTACACAGGTATTCACAGCAAAACTATTCACAATCGCTAGGAAGGTGGCATTGATGAATGGGGTGCAGTGGCTCACATCTGTAATCCCAGCACCTTGGGAGGTCAAGGCAGGAGGATTGCTTGAGCCCAGGAGTTTGAGTCCAGCCTGGGCAACATAGTGAGACCCCTATCTCAATAAAAATAAAAAATAAATAAAATAATGTCAGGCCAGGGGAGGTGCCTCACACCTGTAATCCCATCACTTTGGGAGGCCAAGGTGGGCAGATCACGTGAGGTCAGGAGTTAGAGACTGGCCTGGCCAATATGGTGAAACCGGGTCTCTACTAAAAACACAAAAATTAATGGGGTGTGGTGGCACGTGCATGTAATCCCAGGTACCTGGGATGCTGAGGCAGGAGAATCACTTGAACTCAGGAGGCGGAGGTTGCAGTGAGCCAACATCACGCCACTGCACTTCAGCCTAGGCAACAGAGTGAGACTCCATTTCAAAAAATAAATAAAATAATGTCATTTTAAAAAATCCACGCAGTGTATCCTTCCATATGACATTCACAGGGGAGGACATGCGCACAGCAACCTGTGAGTCTGGACCTGATTTCTCTAGCTGTAGGCCGGCCTGTGCTTGCGGTGTGGGAATCTCTGGGTGTTGATGCAGACCTGTGTGTTCCTAGAACTGATTGGCAGAACAGGGAATGTGAGTGTGTTTGTGGCCGTGTGCACCAGCCTCTGGGTATGGATGTGAGAGAGAGAGAGAGAGAAAGAGAGAGATAGAGAGAGAGAGAGAGAGAGAGAGTGTGTGTGTGTGTGTGTGTGTGTGTGTGTGTATCCAGATGTGGCTGTGGTGTGATTCTCCATGTGTTGCTAGATCCTGTTACTGATGTGTCCCTAGTATGAGAAAGTCTGTGTGTGTGTGTCCAGATGTTTTGATGATGGTGTGTGTGTATGTCAAGGCATTGACATGACTGTGTGCTTGTAACAAGAGACACCGTCAGCAGTGAGGTGTTGTCTGTTTCCCTGACTGTGGGTGCACCTGAGGCCCTGCATGGGGACTGCATGGGGAGGGGAGACAATCTATCACGTGTCTGACATCACCCCCAGTCATGTTTCCTATACGCCCCCATCAGCTGCCCATGTCTGAGTCCTGCCAGTAAGTCACACCTATCCACCAGTATGTCCCCAAGCCAGAGGGTCCCATGGAGCAGCTGTAGGCTGCACCTTGTGCCCCAGCCTGTGATCTGCTCACAGGTGTATGCATACATGTGTGGTGTGTGTGCAGATACATCGGTGCGTGAGTGTGCACACATGGGCATGTACACGTGCGTGGCACTGCAAGTGTGTGTGTGTACATAAGCAGAGGGCAGGTGTGTGTGCATAAGCAAAGGGCAGGTGTGGGTGCAGATTCCAGTGAGTGTATGCACACACGGACAAGTGTATACACATGTGGGTGGGTGTGTAGGTGTGGTGGAGTTGCGTGTGCAGGTTTGGTGTGCACATTTGAGTGGGTGTGTACACGTGGGGGGTGTGCAGGTGTGGAGTGTGCATGCACAGGTGTGGTGTGCGCATTTGTGTGGCTGTGTACACATGCGGGGGGGTGTGCAGGTGTGGAATGTGCATGCACAGGTGTGGTGTGCGCATTTGTGTGGCTGTGTACACGTGGGTGGGTGTGCAGGTGTGGAGTGTGCATGCACAGGTGTGGTATGCGCATTTGTGTGGCTGTGTACACATGCGGGTGGGTGTGCAGGTGTGGTGGAGTGTGTGTGCACAGGTGTGGTGTGTGCACATGGCATGTGTGCACATGCTGCCTCACCTTCGTGCTGCCATTGCTGTAGGTCTGGATCATGTTCTCTGCCCCCTGCTTCACCTTCAGCTCAATGGCCAACTGCTTCTCCAGGCCCGCCACGCGGCTCAGGTTGGTGGCCGAGCACGCAGGGCCACCTGCACCCGGGGACTGGGGGCCATCTGGAGGCGACAGGTGGGAGAGAGTCACTAAGAGTCATCACCTCAGTCTGCCTGGGAGGCTTTACCCTCAGCCCAGCCTGGGCATTGCCCCTGGGGAACAGGGGATGGGGAGCTGTGGGCCAGCAGACAGGCAGGCAGGGGGATATAGGGCCCAGGGGTCTATCCCCTTGCCCTCCCAGGGAAACCCCTCAAGGCTGGGGCAGACCTGGGATGAATGAGTGTGGGCAGGCACCCAGGTGTACAAGCGTGTCCGTGGCGCTGGGTCCACTGCATTTGGGAGGCCCGTTAGTAACTACATACATGGCTTGTGTGAACCTATGGATGTGGGAGTTGTGCCATCTGGGAGCTGCAGGGTGTTGGCATGGCTGAGTGTGTGTCTCCCTAGGTGTCAGAGTGACTCTGTGAGACACCATGTATTAGAATGACTGTCTGAGATTGTGGGTGTTGGGAGATGCTCTGTGTACATTTCTGACTGTTGCTACAACTGTGAGTTCAGATCTCCAGTTTGGTATGACCGAGTCTCCGGATGCATGTGTCTGCATGAGTCTCTGGAGAGTGGTGTGATACTGAAGGGGACCCTGGGTGCAGAAATGACTGAAGCCAGGCGCAGTGGCTCATGCCTGTAATCCTAGCAATTTGAGAGGCCGAGGCAGGCGGATTGTCTGAGGTCAGGAGTTAAAGACCACCCTGGCCAACATGGTGAAACTCCATCTCTAGTACTAAAAATACAAAAATTAGCCAAGGCCGGGCATGGTGGCACACACCTGTAATCCCAGCACTTTAGGAGGCTGAGGCAGGTGGATCACCTGATGGCAGGGGTTCAAGACCAGCCTGGCCAATATGGTAAAACCCTGCCTCTACTGAAAATACAAAAATTAGCTGGGCATGGTGGCGGAGGGCTCTAATCCCAGCTACTTGAGAGGCTGAGGCAAGAGAATTGCTTGAACCTGGGAGGTGGAGGTTGCAGTGAGCCAAGATTGTGCTACTGCACTCCAGGTTGGGCGACAGAGTAAGACTCCATCCCCACCCCTTCACCACCACAAAAAAAAAAGGCCAGGTGGCTCATGCCTGTACCCAGCGCTTTGGGAGGCCAAGGCAGGTGGATCACCTGAGGTCAGGATTTGATACCAGCTTGACCAACATGAAAAAACCCCGTCTCTACTAAAAATATGAAATTAGCCAGAGGTGGTGGCACATGCCTATAATCCCAGCTAGTTAGGAGGATGAGGCAGGAGAATCACTTGAACCCGGGACGTGGAGGTTGTGGTGAGCCAAGATTGTGCCATTGCACTCCAGCCTGGGTAAAACTCCACCTCGAAAAAAAAGAAAAGTGATTGTTTGAGGTCTGGAATGTTGTCTCAACTCTGCTCCTGAGTGCTGATGTGACAGTATCGGTCTCCAGTAGCTGACATGCTTGTGTCTATGGAAGGACTGGGTATGGGCATAAGTGCTGTGGCATCTTCAAGCTTCACCTGACTGTGGGCATAAGCCTCTGCCTGTTGGGATTATGTAAGTCTGTAAGGGTTCAGTGGCTGAGTGTGTGAATCTCTGAGGCTTGGTGTGACTGTCTGCAAGGGTGGGTACTGTCTATGTTGGTGTGTCTATATTTCTCTGGGTGTCGGGTGACAGTATATAAGTCTTTAGGTGTTGTCGTGACTCTGTGAGAGTCTATAAAATTTTATTTTATTTTCTCCAATATTATTATTATTTGAGATGGAGCCTCGTTCTGTCACCCAGGCTGGAATGCGGTGGCACGATCTCAGCTCACTGCAAACTCTGCCTCTTGGGTTCAAGCGATTCTCCTGCTTCAGCCTCCCTAGTTGCTAGGATTACAGGCATGCACCATTACGCCTGGCTAATTTTTGTATTTTTAGTAGAGATGGGGTTTTGCCATGTAGGCCAGGCTGGTCTCGAACTCCTGACCTCAAGTGATCTGCCCGCCTTGGCCTCCCAAAGTGCTGGGATTATAGCTGTGAACCACTGCACCCGGCTGCTTTGTTTTGTTTCTTTGAGACAGGCAGATCACAAGGTCAGGAGATCGAAATCATCCTGGACCACATGGTGAAACCATGTCTCCACTAAAAATAAAAAAATTAGCTGGGCACGGTTGTGCACACCTGTAGTCCCAGCTACTTGGGAGGCTGAGGCAGGAGAATTGCTTGAATCCCAGAAGTGGAGGTTGCAGTGAGCTAAGATTGTGCCACTGTATTCCAGCTTGGTGACAGACCAAGACTTCATCTCAAAAAAAAAAAAAAAAAAAAAAAAAGGAAATTTAGCCAGGAGCAGTGGTGCATGCCTGTAGTCCCAGCTACTTGAGAGGCTGAGATTGGGAGGATCCCTTGAGCCCAAGAGCTCAAGGCTGTAGTTTATCATGACAGCATCTGTGAATAGCTGTACTCCAGCCTGGGCAACAGAGGGCACATCTTTTTTTTTTTTTTTTTTTTTTTAGATGGATTCTCATTCTGTCACCCAGGCTGGGGTGCAATGGTGTGATCTCGGCTCACTGCAGCCTCCACCTCCTCAGTTGAAGAGATTCTCCTGCCTCAGCTTCCCAAGTAGCTGGAAATACAGGTGCCGGTCACCATGCTCAGTTAATTTTTGTATTTTTATTTATTTGAAAAAAAAAAAAAAAAAAAAGAGAGAGAATGTTTAAAAAGATGTGTGCAGGCCAGGGGTGCACAGTCTTGTGTTACCCCATGCTGGCGTGGCTGCGTGCACGTCTCTGGGTGTTGATGGATGGGTGGGTCATGGCATGCATCTCGCTGGGGGTCTGTGGAGATGGGTTAAGCTGGCTCTGGAGACCATGGGTGAGCCAGTGGGCACTGGAACCCCTGGAGTCCCGCATCCCTGGGGGCACCCCTGCTCACCGTTGGTGGCTGCTGGGTCGGGCAGCACCACATGGGCAGTGCAGCTCCTGCAGCTGCTGGTGCAGCAGGTCGAGGCGGCGGGAGGAGCCCCGAAGCAGCAGCTCCACAGGACCCAGGCTGCGGCCCAGGTCAGTGGTGGCCCGCCGCAGGTTCTCAGCACCCTCCTTCAGCTTCAGCTCCTTGCGGATTTCCCGCCGCAGCCGCTCCCGCTCCAGCTCCAGCTGCTGCTGCACCCCGGGGGCCGCCAGGTCCGCCCCGGCCAGGCCCAGCTGCTCCAGCAGGGACCAGCTGCGAGGCTCACTCTACGGGGGACAGAGCAGGGTCAGCGGGACTGGGAGGACTCTGGGTGCAGACCATATGCAGCCAGCCTGGCCCAGCCTCTGCCCTGGATTGGGGCTCCCAAGACAGGCCTGCTGTACCTCCTCTGACTCCCAAAACTAGGTGAGACGAGGCCCTGACACTGCTTCCTGACCCCACCCCCAAACTGAGAGGTCTCAAGAGCAGGGCCTCTTCTCCTGATTGTAGTTTTGCTGTAAATTAAAAAAAAGAAAAAAGAAGGAGCAGAGCCTTGTCACCCCTACCACCACGGTGTCCCCCACATTAAGGGGGTCTCAAGAATAAGATCTGTTTCCCATCTGCTGCCTTCCCCAAACTAGAGGGTCCCAAAGGATGTTCCTTCTTTTCTCTGCTGCTCCCCCAAACTACGAGGTCCCAAGGGCAGGCCCTATCTTCTCTCTGCTATACCCCCAAAACTACAGGGTCCTGAGAACAGGCCCCGTCTTCCCTCTACTGTACTCCAAAACAAGGGCATCCTGAGGGCAGGCCTCATCTTTCCTCAGCTATACCCCCAAACTAGGGCATCCCGAGTCTTTCCTCAGCTACCCCCCCAAACTACGGCATCCCGAGTCTTTCCTCAGCTACACCCCCAAACTACGGCATCCCAAGGGCAGGCTGAGTCTTCTCTCTGCTGTACCCCCAAACTATGGGGTCTTGAAGATAGGCCTCATCTGCTCTTCTCCTATCTTCAACAGCTGGGACCCTGAAGAGCAGAGCCCGGTCTCCCTCCTGTCTCTCCACCAACCTGGGAGCCCCAGCAAGGCCCTGGATATTCTCAGCCTCCAAACGGAGATCTCTGAGGCCAGTGCCCCATCTCCTCTCCTTGTTCCCGAACTGAGAGGTACCCGGGGTAGAACTACCAGCCTATGCCACCTGGGGTTCCCTTCTGCCTGCCCCCACAGGGACCCCGGCCCCCACCTCCAGCTCCAGCTCCGAGGGGCTATCGGCCTCCGCCATCCTGGGTCCGGGCTGAGGGCCCCGCCCTCTTCCTGAACCTCAGCCCCACCAGGGCCTCTTGGCCGCCACTTCCTCTTTCCTGTCAGCTCCCAGCACCCCGTGCGTGGGGCCAACTTCAGGGCATCTAAGGGACCTTCCCTTCAGCCACCTCTAGGGCCAGCCCTGCTCTTCTAGATGAAACCCAGGGACAGTCTTTGCTTCCTGTCCCTAGAGAATGTCCAAGGTATAGGCAGTCTGCACATTCACACACTCATGGTGTATCCAGGAGGGAGGCAGGCGCCAGGGGCTGACGTGAGTTTGCACACACCTTCACATACACGAGCATGTGCACAGAACACGGCTCATAAGTGTTTGCACACTTTTTCTTTTTTTTCTTTTTTGAGATGCAGCCTCCCTCTGTGTTGCCCAGGCTGGAGTGCAGTGGCACGATCTCAGCTCACTGCAACCTCTGCCTCTCAGGTTCAAGCATTTCTCCTGCCTCAGCCTTCTGAGTAGCTGGGATTACAGGTGCATACCACCAAGCCCGGCTAATTTTTATATTTTTACTAGAGATGGGATTTCACCATGTTGGCCAGGCTGGTCTTGAACTCCTGACTTCAGGTGATCCACCCACCTTGGCCTCCCAAAGTGCTGGGATTACAGGCGTGAGCCACCGCGCCAGCCTGTGTTTGCACACTTTCATGCCTGCAGGTGTGTGCCTGTAGCACGGGCTCACATAAGTGCACACTTCCATGCTGTGGGTTTGGATGAAACCAAGACCCACACCTGCAGGTGTGTGCCTGGAACATGGACCCACAGGGTACCCACTCCCATGCCTACCACACACGATGCACTTATTCGCAAACACATACAAGTGCTTATAGGCGTCACTCTAGAACCCACACAAGACACACTCCCACCTTCCCGGGAGGGCACGGCCCACATGCTCATGCATGTGCACATGCTCACACACGTATGCACGCTCCCTGAGGCCCTCGCAGCACGTCCATGCTCCCACAGGCCTCCAGCCCTGCGACTACCTGCATATGTCCCTACACCCAGACCCTCTCAACCACCCCTTGTCCCGGCCCAGCTTCCCCTTCAGGGTCAGAAGAGCCACTTCTTCAGAGGTGAGACCCCCTTCCAGCAGACAGGCCATCCCAACTTCCTGCTTCCTCTCAGTCCAGTTGCCAACTGTTGTTGACCGTAGCTGAGAGGCCCAGGGTCCTGGCCAGCCCGGTGGCACCTCCCTTGGGCGAACATGATTAGGGGACAGCACTGGGAGGCTGGGATAAGAACTCCCAAAACCGGCCAGCCATGGTGGCTCATGCCTGTAATCTCAGCACTTTGGGAGGCCAAGGCGGGTGGATCACCTGAGGTTGGGAGTTCAAGACCAGCCTGGCCAACATGGTGAAATCCCGTCTCTACTAAAAATATAAAAAATTAGCCAGGCGTAGTGGTGCACTCCTGTAACCCCAGTTACTTGGGAGGCTGAGACAGGAAAATTGCTTGAACCCAAGAGGTAGAGGTTGCAGTGAGCCAAGATTGCACCATTGCACTCTAGCCTGAGCAAGAAGAGTGAAATCCCGTCTAAAAAAAAAAAAAAAATTCCCAAAACCGGGCCGGTTACGTTGGCTCACATCTGTAATCCCAGCACTTTGGGAGGCTGAGGTAGGCAGATCACTTGAGGTCAGGAGTTCGAGACCAGCCTGGCTAATATGGTGAAACCCCGTCTCTGCTAAAAATACAAAAATTAGCCGGGCATAATAACGTTTCATAACGTGAAACGTCCAGCTGCTTGGAAGGCTGAGGCAGGAGAATCACTTGAACCCTGGAGGCCGAGGTTGTAGTGAGTCGAGATCGCACCACTGCACTCCAGTCCGGGCGACAGAGCGAGATTGTCTCAAAAAATAAATAAATAAATAAAAAGAATGCCCCAAATCAACAGCCTACAAAACCACTTGCTAAATACACAGTAACATTCAAGAACAACTATAGACATGTGCCAACTTATGATGGGGTTACTTCCTGATAAGCTCATCATAAGTTGAAAATATCATAAGTCAAAAATGTATTTAATATACCTTATCTACCAAACATCACAGTTCACCCTTTGCTACCTTAAATGTGCTCAGAGCACTTATCCAAGCCTACATTTGGGCAAAAATACCTAATATAAAGCTACTTTACAATTAGGTTGAATATCTCATGTAACTTTTTTTTCTTTTTTTGAGTCAGGGTCTTACTCTGTCTCCCAGGCTGCAGTGCAATAAATGGTGTGATCCAGGCTCCCTGCAGTCTCTACCTCCCGGGCTCAAACGATCCTCCCAGCTCAGCCTCCCGAGTAGCTGGGACTACAGGCACGTATCACCACACCTGGCTAATTTTTGTATTTTTCTCTCTCTTTTTTAAGATGGGGTCTCACTTTATAACCAGATTGGAATGCAGTGGTGCAATCTCAGCTTGATGCAACCTCTGCCTCCCGGGTTCAAGCAATTCTCCTGTCTCAGCCTCCAGAGTAGCTGGGACTATAGGCGCGTGCCACCATGCCTGGCTAATTTTTGTATTTTTAATAGAGACGGGGTTTCACCAGGTTGGCCAGGCTGGTCTCAATCTCTTGACCTCATGATCTGCGCACCTCGGCCTCCCAAAGTGCCAGGATTACAGGCATGTGCCACTGCACCCAGCCCCCAATTTTTGTATTTTTCATAGACCTGGGGTCTCACTATGTGGCCCAGGCTGATCTCAAACTCTTGGGCTCAAGCAACCCTCCTGCCTTGACCTCCAAAAGTGCTGGGATTACAGGTGTGAGTCCCCCCCAACCCCACCGCCCTGCCTCAATTTGAAATGAGAGCACCCAGACTACAAATGCTGGCTAGGAAACGGCCCCCTGGCATTATCTCCTTCAGTTGGGAGCATCCATTTTGCAGCCGAGGAATGTTATCCTTGGCCCGTGACTAATCTTGAGAGCAGCTGCCCTGGGGAGGGACGACACAGACCAAGTGTATCACTCCACCATCTTCCCAACCCTCCCTAATCATCCTGAGTCACTGCCAACAATCTCCCCACTTCACAGGTGAGGAAACTGAGGCTCAAGGAAGTAACAGTAGTTTGTTTTTTTGTTTTGGGGTTTTTTTGTTTTTTTTTTTTTTTTTTGAAATGGAGTCTCACTCTGTTGCCCAGGCTGGAGTGCACTGGCGCGATCTTGGCCCACTGCAACCTCCAACTCAACTGGTTCAGGCGATTCTCCTACCTCAGCCTCCTGAGTAGCTGGGATTACAGGCACGTGCCAACCACGCCCAGCTATTTTTTGTACTTTTAGTAGAGACAAGGTTTCACACGTTAGCCAGGCTGGTCTTGAACTCCTGACCTCAAGCGATCGGCCAGCCTCGGCCTCCCACATTGCTGAGATTACAAGTGTGAACCACCGTGCCTGGCCAGTAACCCAGTAGTTTTCAATGGAGGGGAGATTTCCTCCCCAAACACAGGGACATGTGGCGACATACAGAGTCATTTTTGGTTGTCAAACTGTGGGTAGGGAGGTGGCTTCTATCAGGGTGAGGCCAGGGATGGCGCTCAGGACCCTGCAGTACTCAGGACAGTCCCCACTGCAAAGAACAACCCAGCCCTCAGTATCAGCAGTGCTGAGGCTGAGAAGCCTATGGTTAAAGGTTCATAGATTTGGCCAGGCATAGTGGTTCACATCTGTAATCCCAGTACTTTTGGAGACTGAGGCAGGAGCAGCGCTTGAGGACAGGAATTGGAGATCGGTCTGGGCAACATAGCAAGACCTAAAAAATCTCTACAAAATATAAAAAAGTATTGGCCGGGTATGACGTATGACGGCACTGCCAATAGTTTTAGCACTTTATGAGGATGAGGCCGGAGGACTGCCTGAGATCAGACCAGCCTGGGCAAAATGGTGAGATGCCATCTCTACAAAAAATACAAAAACTTGCCAGGGGTGGTGATGTGTGCCTGTACTCCCAACTACTTGGGAGCCCTGAGATGGGGAGGCTCGGTTGAGCCCAGGAGGCAGAGGTTGTTGCAGTGGGTCAAGATCACCGCACTCCAGCCTGGGCAACAGAGCCTGTTTCAAAAAAGAAAAAAAGAAAGGCTGGGTGCAGTGGCTCACACCTGTAATCGCAGCACTTTGGGAGGCTAGGCGGGCAGGTCACTTTGAGCTCAAAAGTTCAAGACCAGCCTAGGCAACACGGCAAAACCCTGTCTACTAAAAATACAAAAATCAGCTGGGCATGGTGGTGCCCAGATGGCACCTGTAGTCCCAGCAACTCGGGAGGCTGGGGTGGCAGGATGGCTTGAGTTTAGGAGGCAGAGATCATGCCGCTGCACTCCAGCCTGGGTGACAGAGTAAGACCCCAGTCTTAATTTTAAAAAATAAATAAAGGAAAAAAAATTAGCCAGGTGTGGCAGCGCACGCCTGTAGTCCTGTAGATGAGGTGTTTGAGGCTGCAGTGAACTAGAATCTCGCCACTGCATTCCAGCCTGGGCAACAGAGCGAGACCCTGTCTCCACAAAAATAAAAACAAATTAGCCAGGTGTGTTGGTCTGTGCCTTTTGTCCCAGGTACTTGGGAGGCTGAGGCAGGAAGATCACTTGAGCACCGGAAATCAAGGCTGCAGTGAGTTAGGATAGCACCACTGTACACCCAGCCTGGGTGACAGAGAAGACTCTCTCCCCCAAAATAAATAAATGTAAATAAGTAAATAAATCACTAAGCACATAGATTCACACCCTGAGCTGCTGACCACGACGCTTACCAGTAACGCCTTCACCGCAGCCCCGCCTGCCAAGTGCTGGCCAGGTCTTGGTCTGTCTCTCCCATGAACACCCTCTTAGTCCCATTTTTCCAAGGTCAGAACCGAGGCTCAGAGAGGCGAAGGCACTGGGCCCAGGACACACAGCAAGGAAGTGTCAGCACTGGAATTTAAACCCAGGCTCACCAAATACCACCCTTGCTCAGTCAGGCCCCACCCCAATCCCAGCAGGCAGAGCAAGGAGACAGCCAAGAGCGGGGTCAGCTCAACTGGGGAAGTCCAGGCAGAGAGGAGAGGTAGCCTCCCTCGGCCCCACCTCCAGCAGCTGAGGTCTGTAACACAGAGAGGGAGGGAGGCTGGGCTCCTGGGTTCTCCTCCCCTGAATGTGACTCACTTCTACCCAGGGCACTGGGGTCACCTGAGGGCCAGCAAGGCAAACCCAGGACTCAGGGGCCTGGCCTGGCCTATGGAGAAGCCCTGCTCCTCCATGGAGCGGAGACCTCAGACCCAGAGGACCTGCCTCCCAGAATCCCCGCCTTGCCAGCGCAGCCAGGGACCTAGACCCCCACATCCGGAGATTTCAATGCTTTGGGCGTTTCCGGAATCTGGACAGGACATCCGTTTGCAGGACACAGAACAGACAGGCACACGTTGGGACAGAGGGACAGGGCGGCAGGCCCAAGCAGCCATGAGAGAGGAAAGACCAGAACGGGGGAAGAGACAGGGGAGGAGATGGGAAGGGGGGACCAGATGTGGGACAGCCTGTCTGGGTCATGTGAGGGATGCGCCAAGCGCATGCAAGCGCCCGGGAATTCCTACACAGCCCGCTCTGGGCCAGGGGTAGAGGCAGGGACCCTGGCCCATCCCGGCCCTGAGGTCTGACCTTGTGTGATCGGCAACACCAGATACGCCCAGCTCCTCGGCAAGGCCGGCAGGCCATCAGCAGGACTGGGGAGGCGGGAGGGACCGGGGGTCACGGGGGAGACACAGAGGGGCGGGGGGCAGGTGCAGAAGGAGACGAGAACCCAGTTACACAACAACCACAGGACGGTGAACTGGCTGGTGAAGTGCTAATGGGGGCACCGAGGCACAGACATTGCTCAGATTTGGGTCACTTGAACCAAAGAGGGTTGGCAGTCACCCTGGCCCTGCTTGTCACAGACGGGGAAGGTGGTGAGTCCAGGGCAGTGAGATCCACCAGGTGGCACAGGGGGAATCTGGCTGGGCATGATGCTGGTGCCAGTCACGTGTGTGTTGGGGGGCTGGGGGCGACCCAGCCCTGCCCAGCCACCATGCAAAGAAGTAGGATTCTATATATGGGAGCATCCCTGGCCTGTTGACTGGGACACTCCCCACCCAGGAGAAGGTTCCACCTGACAGCACAGAGGGTGTGAGTGGGGGGACCCCAGTCCCCTGACCTAATGCAGCGACTGGGGTACTTCCGCCAACAGGTGCCAATCTGGGTGGCGTCTGGAAGATCGTAAAGCTGTCTAGAGGCGGGGGTGGCTGGAGCTTTGTTATGCGGGGGAAGGGCACGGGCCCGGCCCGGCGGCCTCCTCCCCTCCCAGGGCACCGCGCCAGGCACCTGGCCCAGGTGGAGCGGCACCTGCCGGGCACCCAACCCTGGGGAGGAGGATGAGTTTGGGGGGACGAGAGGCACCGGGACTCCCAGCCAGCCACAGACACCCGAAGTCGCGCCTCCGCCGCGCCCCTTCTAGTTCTCCCGGAGGCCGAGTTTGAGGGTGCGGCAGGGGGTTGCCTCTGGGATCGCCCCCCCCACCAGCCCGTCCACATCGCCACCTGCCGAGAAGGGGGCCTCGCTGGCTCCACAGTCACGGCCCAGGGAGGGGGCGCCCGGCGCTCCGCAGGCCCCCGCCCTGGCCCCCCGGCTCCGGTTCCCGGGACTGGGGGCTCCCCCGGCAGCGCTCGGACCGGGTTCCCCGCGCCGTCCGGTCGCCCCGCGACTCCAGACGCAGGTGCGCCTACCTGCACGGCGTCGCTGGCCATGTCCTCGTGCCGCCCGCCAGGGGTCCCCACGCGGAGGGAGGGGCGGCGAGAGGAGCGCGCGTGCGCCCCGGGCGCGGCGGGGAGGGGGCGGGCGCGGCGCGACCCTCCCCGGCGCGCGGCCCGCTCCGGCCTGCTCGGCTCCGGCCCCGCCTGGCCAGGCCGCCGCGTCCCCGCGCCGCGCCCTCCGGCCCCAGCGGCCGCCGGGCCCGGTCACGTGACCCCGGAGGTCGGCGCCCGGGGAGGGGGCGGGGCCGAGTGGGGAGGGGCTCCCAGAGGCCCCCGGGGCTGCGGGGTCCCGCCCGCCCGCCCCCTCCGTCTCCCGAGCCCCGAGCGCCCCCATCGGCGCCCCGCCTTGCCTTTTTCCGGGTCCCGCGACGACCGCACGCTGCCGAGGGGACCCTCATTGGAGCGCGCGGGAACCCGAGGAGAACGGTTCCCCGCGTTCAGGCGGAGAGCGGCCAAGGCCTTTGGGCCTCCCGGGACCCCTGAAAAAACAAATAACCCCCCTATCCCACCCCGGGGCATTTGCAGGCTCGGGATGCCTGCATCCGTGGTCCCCTATTCAAGGGCATGGAACGTTCCCCGTTACCTGGAGACAAGCTCTGGGCGGATCTGCATTAAAATCCCAGCGCTCCACGCTTTGGGGAAGCCAAACCCTCAGAGCACCTCATCAGTGAAATGGAAATGAGGCACCCGCCTCTTGGGTGTCGGTAAAATTCAGTGAGACAGTGCGGGCCAAGAGCACACTAGACGCTCAGTAAGTGTGATAACACTTTTAATGTTATCGTTATTGTTTGTTGTTTTGCTGTTGGTTTGGGGACAGAGTTCCGCTTGGTTGCCCAGGTCGGAGTGCAGTAGTGGCGTGATCTCGGCTCACTGCAACCTCTGCCTCCCAGGTTCAAGTGATTCTCCTGCCTCAGCCTCACGAGAAACCTGGGATTCCAGACACCGCACCACGCCCGGCTAATGTTTGTATTTTTAGTAGTGTCGGGGTTTCACCATGTTTGACCAGGCTGGTCTCGAACTCCTGACCTCAGGTGATCCGCCCGCCTCGCTCTCCCAAGTGCTGGGATTACAGGCGTGAGCCACCGCGCCCGGCGCCTATTATTTTATTGTTATTAAAAGAGGTTTGAATCCCAACTCGCTGTTCATCCTGTGGACGTCTGTGGCCTCTGAGTCTCAGTTCTCCCCGCTATAAAATGGGCACCGCCTTCTTTTTCGGGGCTGCTGCATGCAGATGGCGCTCCATAAATGCAGACTAGTGCCCAAGCAGAGGGTGGAGGCCTCTGCGGAATTTCTAGAGGATCTCCGGGGTCTGCAGAGCATGCACCTTTGTTTGTGGCCGCCGTCGGACCCCTCACTCCTTCGGAAACCAGGCGAGGGAGCTCAACCTTGTTCCCGGGGCTGTCGCGGGGAGCGCTCCCTGGCGGCGGTACCAGCACATTGACGCCCTCTGGGGATATGCGGAAGCGCAGTGGGCTGCGGGTACCTTGGTTACGCGTGGCTCTGTGTGGTTTCAGTCGTCCCAGAAAGCAGGCCGCGATGTTTTCGCTCTAATTTTTTCCTCTGAGCAACTATTTGGAGGATATTCACGACAGAAAGAGAGAAGAAGGAGAATTATGCTGATCCAAAATCCATCCAGCCTGGACTCAAGCAATCCTTCTGCGTTGGCCTCCCTAAATGTTGGGATTACAGGCATGAGCCATCAAGCCTGGCCCAAGCTAGTTCTTTTGCTCCAGTTTTGCAGGTGAGTAAGCTGAGAGCCCCTCACCCCAATCATCAATCCAGGATGTCTATGGCCCTTTCCCTGAGAAACGAAGTATCTCCCTCTAATTCTCCAGCCCACTCATTCTGCAGATGAGGAGGACAAGGCAGAGCGAGGTTTCGGCGGGTTGAGGGATTGGGTTGTCTGGAACCACCTTGCACAGGATTGGGCCCTCCGTCTCTGCCTGCCAGGTCCCAGGCTGCCTCCCCAGATGGAGCTGGGGAAACCAGCCAAATTCTCGCTCCACCCTTCAGGCATTCATTTACTCAGTGAACATTTAGAGACCCATGGGGGAGTTTGGTGGCACTGGAAACAAAGTTGCAGTTCGGGCTTTTTTTTTTTTTTTTTTTTTTTTTTGAGACAGTCTCATTCTGTTACCCAGGCAGGGCAATGGGTAAGATGACAACTCACTGCAGCCCCAACTTCCCAGGCTCAAGTAATCCTCCCATTGCAGCCCTCTGAGTAGCTAGGACTACAGGCATGCACCACCATGCCCAGCTAATTTTTTTTTTCTTTTCTTTTTTTTTTTTGCCGGAGATGAAGTCTCATTCTGTTGCCGAGGATGGTCTTGAACTCCTGGCCTCAGGCGATCCTCCAGCCTCAGCCTCCCAAAATGCTGGGATTACAGGTGTGAGCCACCACGTCCAGCCTCATTTTGCGCTTTAGAAGGGGACATGGCCAGGTTCAAGCCTGTAATCCCAACACTTTGGGAGGCCAAAGTGGGTGGATCACGAGGTCAGAAATTTGAGACCAGCCTGGCCAACATGGAGAAACCCTGTCTACTAAAAATAAAAATAAATAAAAAAAAATTAGGCAGGTGTAGTGGTGAGCCCTGAAGTCCTGGTTCCTCAGGAGGCTGAGGCAGGAGAATCACTTGAATCTGGGAGACAGAGATTGTAGTGAGCCGAGAATGGCCCTTGTACTCCATCCTGGGCAACAAGAGCAAGACTCCATCTCAAAAAAGAAAATGGGGAGACATAGCTGGGCATGGTGGCACGTGCCTATAGTCCCAGCTACTCAGGAAGCTGAGGCACCAGAGTTGCTTGAACCCGGGAGGCCGAAGTTGCATTGAGCAGAGATCCCACCACTGCACTCCAGCCTGGGCAACAGAGCAAGACTCTGTCTCAAAAAAAATAAATGGGCCGGGCGCGGTGGTTCAAGCCTGTAATCCCAGCACTTTGGGAGGCCGAGGCGGGTGGATCACGAGGTCAAGAGATCGAGACCATCCTGGTCAACATGGTGAAACCCCGTCTCTACTGAAAATACAAAAAAAATTAGCTGGGCATGGTGGTGCGTGCCTGTGATCCCAGCTACTCAGGAGGCTGAGGCAGGAGAATTGCCTGAACCCAGGAGACGGAGGTTTCGGTGAGCCGAGATCGCACCATTGCACTCCAGCATGGGCAAGAAGAGCGAAACTCTGTCTCAAAAAAAATTTTTTTAATAAATAAATAAATAAATAAATAAATTGGAGAAGGGGGTTGTTGGGTGCAGTGGCCCACGCCTATAATCCCAGCACTTTGGGAAGCCAAGGCAGGCGGATCACCTGAGGACAGGAGTTTGAGACCCGGCCAACATGGCAAAACTCCCCCTCTACTAAAAATACAAAAATTGGCCGGGAGCTGTGGCTCACACCTGTAATCCTAGCACTTTGGGAGGCCGAGGTGGGTGGATGACCTGAGGTTGGGAGTTCAAGACCAACCTGGCCATCACAGTGAAACCCCACCTTAAAAAAAAAAAAAGAAAAAAAGAAAAAAAAAATACAAAAATTACGCTGGGTGTGGTGGCTAATGGCTGTAATCCAAGCACTTTGGGAGGCTGAGGTGGGTGGATCACCTGAGGTCAGGAGTTCGAGGCCAGGCCAGGTACGGTGGCTCACACCTGTAATCCCAGCACTTTGGGAGGCCAACGTGGGCGGATCACGAGGTCAAGAGATTGAGACCATCCTAGCCAACATGGTGAAACCCCATCTCTACTAAAAATACAAAAAAATTAGCTGGGCTTGGTGGTGCGTGCCTGTAGTCCCAGCTACTCGAGAGGCTGAGGCAGGAGAATTGCTTGAACCCAGGAGGTGGAGGTTGCAGTGAGCCAAGGTCATGCCACTGCACTCCAGCCTGGCACCTGGTGACGGATGTCTCAAAAAAAAAAAAAAAGAGTTTGAGGCCAACCTGACCAACATGGTGAAACTCTGTCTCTACTAAATAACAAAACCTTAGCTGGGTGTGGTGGCAGGTGCCTGTAATCCCAGCTACTTGGGAAGCCAAGGCAGGAGAATCACTTGAACCCAGGAGGCAGAGGTTGCAGTGACCCAAGAACGCACCATTGTACTCCAACCTGGGCAATAGAGTGAGACTCTGTCTCAGAAAATAATAATAATAACAATAATAAGCTGGGCACAGTGGCTCATATGTGTAATCCCAGCACTTTGGGAGGCCGAGGCAGGCAGATCGCCTGAGGTCAGGAGTTCAGGACTAGCCTGGCCAACATGGTGAAACCCCATTGCTACTAAAAATACAAAAAATTAGCCAGGCATGGTTGCGCATGCCTGTATTTCCAGCTACTCCTGAGGCTGAGGCAGGAGAATCGCTTGAACCCGGGAGGCTGCAGTTAGCCAAGATCATACCACTGCACTCCAGCCTGGGCAACAAGATGGAAAGTTTGTCTTAAAAGAAAAAAATCATGCCACTGAATTCCAGCCTGAGCAACAGAGACTCTGTCTCAAAGAAACAAAGAACAGGCTGGACTCGGTGGCTCATGCCTGTAATCCCAGCGCTTTTGGGAGGCCCAGATGGGCTGATCACCTGAGGTCGGAAGTTCAAGACCAGCCTGACCAACGTGGAGAAACTTCAACTACTAAAAGCACAAAATTAGCCAGGCATGGTGGTGCATCCCTGTAATCCCAGCTACTTGGGAGGCTGAGGCAGGAGAATCGCTTAAACCCGGGAGGTGGAGGTTGCAGTGAGCCAAGATCATGCCATTGCACTTCAGCCTGGGCAACAAAAGCAAAACTCCATCTCAAAAAAAAAAAAAAAAAAAAAAAAGGAAAAGAAACGAAAAACATTTAACAGTACCTTGAAAAATAAAAAAAGGCCGGGCGCAGTGGCTCAAGCCTGTAATCCCAGCACTTTGGGAGGCTGAGGCGGGTGGATCACGAGGTCGAGAGATCGAGACCATCCTGGTCAACATGGTGAAACCCCGTCTCTACTAAAAATACAAAAAATTAGCTGGGCATGGTGGCGCGTGCCTGTAATCCCAGCTACTCAGGAGGCTGAGGCAGGAGAATTGCCTGAACCCGGGCGGCGGAGGTTGCGGTGAGCCGAGATCACGCCATTGCACTCCAGCCTGGGTAACAAGAGCGAAACTCCGTCTGAAAAAAAAAAAAAGAAAAAGAAAAAGAAAAAAACGAAAAACAACCACTCACTTTATAAAAAAAAAAAAAAAGTCTCGCCTTACTTTCTTTTTTTTTGAGGCCGAGTCTCACTCTGTCGCCCAGGCTAGAGTGCAATGGCACAATCTCGGCTCACTGCAACCACCACCTCCAGGGTTCAAGCGTTTCTCCTGCCTCAGCCTCCCGGGAAGCTGGAATTACAGGCACCTGCCAACACACCAGCTAATTTGTGTATTTTTAGTAGAGATGGAGTTTCACTGTGTTAGCCAGGAGGGTCTCCAGCTCCTGACCTTGTGATCCACCCACCTCGGCCTCCCAAAGTGATGGGATCACAGGCCTGAGCCATCGTGCCCAGCCCATCTCACCTTACTTTCAACCTCATGCCCTTTGCACTGGCTGTTATCCGTTCTGGAAAGTCCTTCTATCACATCTCTCCAAGGCTGGCCCCCTTTGCTCATTTAGTTATCTGCCTAAATGTCCCATCTTCTGAGCAACTTTCCCAGACCACACCCATGTCATTTCTGGCCCTTGGCTCTGTTTGATTATTTTGCATGTTACTCCTCCCTGAAATTTGCACAGTGCTTGTGCTATTTCCATCTTTGTTAAAGGAATGAGTGGATGCAGTATGAAGTATAAGGTGAAAGGTATCACAGACCTGCGAAGGCTGGAGGGGGCAGCCATACCACCGTGGAGGAAGCGGTCAGCCTGGGCTTCCCTGAATGGCTGATACTGGTGTGAAATTGGGAAAGACAAGCTAGAAAATTGCAAAGTGAAGGCTGGGCATGATGGCTCATGAGGCAGGATGGTCACTTGAGGCCAAGAATTCGAGACCAGCCTGGGCAACATAGCAAGACCCCATCTCTGAAAAAAAAAAATTAGCCAGGTATAGTGGTACGAGCCTGTACTCCCGGCCACTTGGGTGATTGAGACAGGAGGATCAGTTGAGCCCAGGAGTTTCTGCTTGGGTAACAGAGGAAGACCCTGTCTCCATATTTAAAGCAAAAAGAAGGAGGAAAGAAAATGAAATAAAATTGCTAGGTAAAGAGTGAAAAGGTGTCTGATAGAAGGACGGGGAGGGGCAAAGGCCCAAGATGGGCAAGAAAAACTTGGCACTTTCTGGGACCTCCTTGCTGCTCTGAAAATGAGGCCTGTTCCCACCTCACAGGCTTTGCATTATTATTCCCTCTGCCTGAAACGCTTTTCCTTTCATTTTCCTTCCTTCCCTCCCCTTCCCTCCTTCCCTCCTTCCCTCCCTCTCTCCATCCCTTCCTCTTCTTTCTCTTTTTTTCTCTCTTTCTTGCTTTCGTTCTCTTTTTTCTTTTCTTTTTTTTTTTTTTTTTGAGACGGAGTCTGGCTCTGTCGCCCAGGCTAGAGTGCAGTGGCGCAATCTCGGCTCACTGCAACCATCCACCTTCCAGGTTCAAGTGATTCTCCTGCCTCAGCCTCCCAAGTAAGTGGGATTACAGGCGCCTGCCACCACACCCACCTAATTTTTGTATTTTTAGTAGAGACGGGGTTTCACTGCGTTGGCGAGGCTGGTCTTGAACTTCTGAACTCGTGATCCACCCGCCTTGGGCTCCCAAAGTGCTGGGATTAC